GGATCGTGTGGCACAGCCAGCAAACAAACTGCTAAAGCCCGCACTCGTTGCATGCCGCTGCCCCCTGGGGAGTCGTGTTGCACGTTTCACGTTTCAGGTCTCGAGTCTCGGGTTTCGGGTTTCTTTTTGTGCGGATTTTGTTGGCCAAAAAGTGATTTTAATGGCCGCTCAAGTGGCAGTCGAGTCGAGTATAACTTTTCGCCGAGTTTTCCTCAGTTTTCCAAGCAAATATGAAAAGCTCTCAGCTGCCATGGAAAAACTCCTGCCGCTGCCTCGCCTTCGTTGCTCCAGCGCGTGGCATTGATGATTCTGCAGATTCCTGGGCGCCTGCATGCATTTGCAATCAATGATGTGTATTCCCCCCCACCACCACCAACGCCCCATAACCATAACCAGATTTCATTTCTATATAAATTTGTATCCAAAAAACACGAACAAAAGGAGCCGGACAGAAATGGGATTCCTTGGGCCCTGGGTTCCACCTTTTGACAAGGGCATAATTAAAGCGTAACAGGGACAATAACAAAAGGGGGGGGACAGGAAGAAAGGAGTCCCGACCAGGACCTCCCTCCGACATAAAGGCGGCGAGAAAGCCACGAGGACGACGATGGCGATGGCGATGTACGAGGAACGATACGAAGGTACGGCGTTACGGGGTGAGAACAGGTTGTTACTTCCTTGCAAACAAGGTTCCGTTACCGTTATGTACACACACACAGACCCACAATCTGCATACGTATTATACACATATGATAAATGCCTCTGTGTGTGTGTGTTTGTGGCATATACACATATAAAAAGAAAAGAAAAGCACGTTATTGCCAATTTAACTTACATTGTGCATGTGTCTTTAAACAAAGATTTATGTACCCGAGCGTTGCAAGCACAACACCCCCCCACCACCACCCACCATCCCCCCAAAGCACGACCCCAATCAGGAGTCCACTGGATCCCGCCACTCCGGCTCCTCCTTCGCACCAGACACACGATATATTTGCCGGTTTTTGGGGTCTCGGCTTGGGGGTCAGGTGTGCGGGCAATAACTCGCTATAGATGGGGAGGCATTACTTATACGGGTGCGAGTGTGTGGTGCTCCATCCGTGTGTTCTACCCACTTAAATCAGCATAATGATATGCACTTATTGTTGTGGCAAATTTGTTGCGGAAATGCTGTGAAAACCGCACAAGGCTTAAAGAGGGGAGGGCAAGACCTACAGGCCACTGAGCCACTGAGCCACTGAATCCTGACTCACCTTAACCTCAGAGGCCCCCCGCCGCCCGGGCAGACCTCAGAAGAACCGAGCGACCGCATGTCGATGTCGATTTCTTCATTTGCCTAATACGAGTCGACGCCATCATTAATCTAAAATATGGCAGAGTCGCACGACACGCACCCACACACACACGCAAGCACTCATGCTCATACGCTCTCCCTCTCTCTCTCACTCTCCGTCTCTGCATGTAATTATGCTCAGAAAGCGGAAGAGTGGGGGTGTAGTGTGGTATGTGGGGGGGTGGGGGCAGGGGCAGGGGATGGAACACCACAGAAGACACACATTTGCGTAAGCCTTGTTAATCGTGACAAAAGCTTATTGCGGGTTATTTGGACTACTTGTTTCGCATCCGGCGTCGGTCGTCGTTGTCGTCAGCAGCAGAGCAGTGGGAGAGGGGCAAGGGGCAAGGGGGGAGAGTACAAGTAGCCGTAGCCGTAGCAGTGCTGCTGGCAAAACGAAAATCAACATTGCCAAAGGCAAGGTATATTTGAAGAGAGGATGAAAGGCCTAGGCGATCCACAAAAGCTGAGCCAAGGCTTCGTCTGCCCCGCCTTGGCCAGCGCTCCCCACACACTCCCGGATATCCCTGAAGATCTACCCCCCCCCAGGACTGTCTTACCTTACCCTTCTGTTTCTTATACCTTTCGTCCACAGGCGACAGAGATATCTCTGCAACACAACAGTCATGTGTGTGTTTCTGGTGCGTTTGAGCCTGTCATCTCTAAGCATAGGCGAGGGGAAGGGAGAGAAGTGTGGAGCCCCAAAAGGGAATGGAGGCCCTTCTCGCGTCACTTGCACACATAATAAACATTTTAAACATTATTCTCGTGTTAAGCAGCTTCTTGGATTGCTGTTGCCCTGCCCTGCCTGTCGCTCTCTGCTCTGTGCGTCTCTGCCACACTGCCACACCGCCGCTCTGCTGTTCGTTTTCGGTGAAATTTACGGGTTTTAACGAATAATGGTGCATGTGGGAAATGAACGTTTTGTGTTCGCTTTTGCTTGTCATCGCAGTATCCACATATCCACATCTCCAGGCAGCAGCAGCAGCCACGCACACACACACAGACACACACACGCATACGCATTCCAAAACATTTGCCACTTTATCAGCATTTTACTTTAGCCGTTATTACCAGAGAGATCCACTCAGAGTACATTAGTACGCCCCCACACTCACACACACACGCACACACTCACACACACACAGACACGGATAATACTAATACTCTGCCACACGATGCCACGCATGTGTGCGCGCCTCTGATGCTACGAGAAGGTTGCGACTCTCCAAGGAAATTAAAAAACAACTAAAACAAATTAACAATGTAATGACAAAAGTCTTATGCCAGCAGCAAATGTGGCAGCAGCAGTTGTGCCACAGGACAGCGGCTCCACGACAAGCACCAATAATAAACAGTCGAAGGAAGTCGGCCCAAGGACATGGATTAGGTCTCGCAGCTAAATGGCAAATCAAGCATTGCACAGAAATTGAATTACCTACCCGGGCATTCGAGCCCCAGTACCAGTCCCCAGTCCCAGTCCCCAGTCCCAGCCCCATCTTTGAGCACCACCCACGTTAAGTATACGCCATGGATTCCAGGCCCAATTGGCACTGGAAATGGGTATGGGCTTGGGAATGGGAATGGGAATGGCAACAGCAACGCTTTTAATGATGATCGATTTGGGTAAACAATGAAATTTCCGCATTCAAATTTTATTGCCGGCAATCAGAAGAGCTTCCTGCAACAGCAGCAGCAGCAGCAGCAAAAGCGGCGCAGCAGCAGCGATACAGACACCACAAACATATGCCCCCGACACAGCGATATACGAGATGGTGCTGGGGGGTGGGGGGGAGCATATATGGGGAAATGGGAATATGGTATGCTTTAATATTAATCTATGGGAGCAACGCCTGTTTGCTGTTTGTCGGCTAAATTTGAATTGGAGTTGAATGATGGTTGTTGTCGCTGCAATTACCATATAACATTTACATTATCGCACTTGCAGCCCCTCACCCCAGCCCCCACCCGGCATGACCCATGCGCCCATGCCTTTCATAATTTTGGCGCCAAACAACAGAAGAGCTGTGTACCCAAGCAACAAAAATTCAAATTTAGCGCCCTGGGCAAATCGCAAAAAGTAGTGCTGCCAGACATCTGCATTTAATACTAAATTTGCTGCCCTGGTAATATGTGGTATTTTCTCTTGTTCCCTGAAACGGTCAATCAGCCAAAAATACCTAAGCCGAAAATATATAACCTAAAAATATGCTTATACAAATGGTCGATATAGCCAGAAATATGCTAAAATGGCAACCTGCTGGTCCGATTTAGACAAATCCATTGGCTTCCATCTTTTATTCCAATGGATTGCATTTAAATCCTTGACGCGTATTCACATTCAAACAATTTCTATTTGGCGCTCAAGTTTGGTGGGACTTTTTTGGGATTTTTCGTCGCCACAATGTCCCTCACTCATGTTTCCACTGTTTTCTTGTTGACCTTTTTTGTTGAAACCTTTTTTTAGACTAAATTCAACAAAAGCAAGAGTTTAAAATAAACCAGTCAAGTGGAAAATAAATTCATTAATTGGATAAAATTATGTGGGCATGGCTAAATATTCTATCTACCTAGTAATATTCGACGGAACATCAAAATTAAGCAATATGGTCTCCAATCCTTGACGGAGAACGACTAACCCATTGTAAACCAAGGGGTTATTTAAATTTACCAGCGAAAATAATGCAAATTTAATCGTTTTAGCGCAGTTCATGTGAAAGATATCGTGTTTTTTTTTCTAAATTCAGAGGAAGGATGGCATGAATCCACAAGAATAATTTACAATCGTTAATATTTACCGGCATTTACCTCAAGTTGTTGAACTGCTTAAATAGAGGGGGCTTTAGTGGGCTAAGTTCGGGTTTTCATCATGCGGGGGGCTATGTTGTTCAGTGTTGTCAGATTTTGAGCGTCAAAATAAGCTAGATTTTACAAAAACACAAGCTAAAACAAGCTAAAAATTGTAAAAAAAACAGGCCATCTGTACTTTGCCAAGGGACTAAGTGAATTTTGCCATATTGGGCAAGAATTCCATCTATATTGCTATAGTTAAAGTGTTCCAATATGGAAATGAGATCATTAGGATTTTTATTATGTTCGAGTACATTTTCTGCTGCAAAAACTTGCAGTTTTTCTAATGTCTCAAAATTATCTGGAAGTCTGAAATTAAAGAGCAGATTTTTATTTATTTTTAATATCAAATCCTATTGAAGCTTACCGTTCTCTGAATTGGATAATAAGCTCCTTTATAAAATCCTTGCACCTCAATTTTACACAATTACACATTTCACACGATCGCCAAGTTTCTGTGTAGTAGTGGCCGAAACTTTTCAACGAAAATATGCCATAAATGAATTCTAAAATACCATGATACACCAAAATATGTACAACAAATATACTTTTTGTTCGATTTGCCTAAAAATATATGTAGGATATAAAAAGGCAAACATAAACGGAGTGAAATTAAAAAAGGCTAGATTTAAGGCTATAAGCATTTTCATAATTTTTCAAGCTTTTCCGTTTTCAAATAAGCTAGATCTAGCCTTAAATAGGCTAAAATGGCAACACTGATGATGTTGTTGTGGAACCAAAATCGAGGCAAAAACAATCGAAGTCGAGTATTTAAAAAAAGCCAGTCAAGTAGAAAATAGATTCATTAATTGTTTTAAATTATGTGGACAGGGCTGAGAGATCTAGATAGAAAAGAACAATCAAAACAACAATATGTGCAAATAAACGGAGTGACGAGTACGAGTGCAATTAATTGTGCAATAACAGAAGTTGAAAGATAACTGCTGCTGCAGCTGTTTTGATTCTACGAGGAGGAGACACAGAGCAGACGCAGACACGGGCATTCCAATGCACTTTCTCCAGAGCAAAACCTGTCGAGTGGCTTATTTGACATCCATTCGGATATCAATAGAAAAATAGAGGCCAAGCCACAGCCAGTAGACTACCAAGCAGCGCACCTGTGTGCTGGAGCTGAAGCACACACAGCCACAGAAATAGCAACAAAAAGTTGATTGGCGTCTTTTGCTGTTTTATTGGCATTAGAGCCACAGTCACATCTTGGCCACTCTTGTGATCGCTCGCTCGTTCATTCCACTTCTGCTTCCACTCCCCAAAACGCAGAACTCAAAACTCAAAAAGCAAAACGCAAAAGAATTCCATAATTTGCATATGCCACACTCGCATGCACAGAGATCATCATCATTGAGAGGGGAGGAGCCGGAGTAGGAGGAGGCATGCTTGTCGAATTGAGTCATTATTTGATTGCCAGTGCCCAGAAAACGTGAGTTTTAGCGAAGAGTGTGCTCCCTCACTCATCATAATTCCGTTCGTTCAACGTCTGTTTGGACACTTTCTCGGCATAGACACATACACAAAATAGAAGGATAGGATGCCTGCTCTCGGGGAGAAAGTGCGTCGCCTGCTGGAGGCCAAAGATTTGGGCGACATCACCACAGAGCTGTGCGACTTCTCGCTGAAAGAGCAGAACGCCACCGCAGAGGCGCAGGGAGTGCAGCCGTCGTCGGCATCCGACTTTATGCCCATACTCGGACAGACGGTCACCTACATTGTGGCCTGTGTGCTGATCAACGAGCACGACGAGCTGCTCATGATCGAGGAGGCCAAACAGAGCTGTGCAGGTGAGTGAGCCCAGCTCCGCTCCGCCCCGCCCCGCCACTCATTTAATGATTCTCTACTCTACTTTCCAGGTAAGTGGTATCTACCCGCTGGACGCATGGAGCGGGGCGAGTCCATCACAGAGGCCGCCGCAAGGGAGGTGTTTGAGGAAACCGGACTGAATGCGGAGATAACGACCCTGCTCGCTGTGGAGGCTGCCGGGGGCTCCTGGTTCCGATTTGTGATGACGGGACGCATCACTGGCGGTCGCTTGAAGACGCCGGCAGATGCGGATGCGGAGTCCATTCAAGCGCGATGGGTGCTGAATCCCCAGGAGATGCCACTGCGGGCCAACGACATCCTGAACATCATTGACATTGGACGGGCCTACCACAAGGGAGCCAGGAAGACGGGAGCGCTGGAGAGTGCCAGCGAGCCGCTGTGGCACGGCAGCATCCTGCCCACGCGATTCCCCCACAGGAGGAATTACCTGCGTGTCCTGGCGGTGGCCCGAAAGCGGGCCAGCAACTCGATGAACATCCTCATCAGCGAGAAGAACGCCCACCACTTCCCCACGGTGGAGCTGCACCCGAATCGCAGCCTCCACTCGACGCTGCGCAAGTTCATGATTGAGATTTTTGGAGCGGAGCTGCCGCAGCACAAGCCTCACGGCCTCTTGAGCGTGGAGCACTGTGCCTCCGAGGGGGAGAACACGGACGGAATATGCCTGAATCTGCTGGTGGCCTTTCGGCCGCCCATCGAGCAGATATCGCTGATTGGCAAATGCATTTGGCAGGAGCTGGCGGCCCCCTTGGACGAGAGGCTGGGGCGGATTGTTAGCAGCAAACAGTCCTCGATACCACTCAGTGTGGTGCGATAGGAGGACCCGGCCAGAATAACGAGGATTAGGATAGCAGCGTGCCTTAGTCTTTAGTCGTAGGTTAAATCCCCAGTGGCCCTCCTATCCCCTATCCAATCCATGGTGCAAGCAATCTATAATCCACAATTTAGTTGCAATTAAAGGAACACACAGATCACAGATACACTTCTTCCGATTCGTTGTTAAATGCTCTCTTTTTCACTACAAATATTATGTATAATTGATACGCAATAGGACGTAACGGTACGTAACGTAACGTAACCATAGAAATGCTCTTTCCAGTGGAATATGTCGGATGAATGAAGCAAACTAGCAGTCGACTAGGTCAGGGGTTCAGAGGGATCGGAACTAACACTAAAAGCCTCCTCCCACTCGTCTCGTGTCTCTCTACTTCCACACGGTGTTGAAGAGATCCATAAACGAGTCGTAGATCATGAACGTGATGGCCACGTCGAGGCAGACGCGTCCCAGACGCGGCACCGTGCCCTTGTAGAAGGCCCCCACGCCCTCGTTCTTCAGGATCTTCATGGCGCAGTCGGCGGTGTTCTTGTACTTCGACGCCTCGAGCCCCTGCATCCGCGTCTTCACGACGTCCAGAGGTGTGTTGCCGAAAACAGAGGCGGCTCCGGCCACAGCGCCGAAGGCACCGACCAGCAGCTTGGGCACCGGCTTGTTGTGATCGTCGCCCTTGTACAGGTCCTTGAGGGACTCCAGGACGAAGAAGCGGATGGCCTGGTTGGAGCCCTGCTTCAGGATGGTGGGCGTGAGGCCCTTGTACACCCCACTGATGCCCTCCGCCTTGACGATCTGTCCGACGCCGTGGGCGAATCCCTTGAACTTGGGATTGGCGCTGCGCTGGTCGTTGATGAACTTCACCTTGATGGTCTCCATGGGCGTCACGGCCAGAACGGCCTCGCAGACACCCGCTCCCAGGCCGCAGAGGAGTTTTCCGGCCGTCGACAGCTGTCCATTGGCATCGACGGCGTGTCCGCGCAGGTACTCGAAGGCTCCAAATCTGCAAGATGGCCATGAATCACCGTATTTTCTCTAGAGAGAGGGGTCTCACCTCGCTGCCGACTTGGGTATACTGCCGTAGAGGAGCACACTCAGGCCTCGGTAAAGGCCGAAGAATCCCCTCTGCTGCACTGTTTTCTTCACGCAATCCGCGATGCCGTTGTATCGCTTGTTGGCCCCCTTCTCGTCCAGCTGCAGCTGTGTCTTCACGTACTCGGTGGGATAGGTGATGCAGATCTCAATGCCGCCCGTGATGCCGCCCGCCACAATGCCCTTGAGGCCCTTGCCCCCACCGCTTGGGGCAGCGGCTCCAGTGCTCGTCATCCATGGACGGCACTTGTACGGACTGACAAAGGTTGCTAGGCTCTGGCGATCCATTCTGTAGGCGTTTTATCTGGAGAGGGGGAGGAAAGGGAGGGAGTTTTATAGTCTCTAGGAAAGATCTCCCCCAAGATTTAATCACTTTTTTTGGAGCAGAAATAGATGTCTTGTGTGTGTGTGGGTGTACCATCTATATTGCAGATGTTAGAAGGGGTTTCTTTATAGAGAAACGAGGGAAAGACCAATCTTCTAAATCTCAAAAGTACTTATCATTTAAAACAAAGGTCAAAACAAAGAAAAACCCATTCAGCAGAGAAGATTATGCGTGTTTCTGTTTCGTCATATAGGAATATTTGAAAAAGTTCCGAGTGATTACCCAAGACGTCTTTCGATTCGAGTGGGAGAGGTAGTACATATGTATGTGCATATCAGCAGACATTGGGTTCTCTTTCCCTCATTCCCTCTTTCCCTGCTCTTTGCACTTGACAATCGTATTATTTGTCCGTTTTTTATTTGTCGTCTGTGGAGGGGGTTATGTAACATTTGCATGACCATAAATACCCGTAGAGAAGGAGAGCGGACTTCGTTCATAATTAATATTCCATTAAACCCACAATTAGTCCCACAATCGGCCCTGTCCTATCCTCCTATCGTGACTGGAAATCCCGATAAACATAAACAAACGTCTCTCTGATAAGTCGTTTCTGATTTCGCTGGAAAGTGGATTAGTGGAATATTTCCAGTCCCCCCAGACACAGACACAGATGCACTCCCTGATGGAATCTCTGGTTACTGGAACCGCATTGAATTTCTGCACTGTACTCACATTTTTGCACAAAAACTATGGAATCTGTATAGTTCCTATATATACAATACCGATTCGTGTGGAATGCGCGACAGATAGAGACGGAGGCGGAAGGGGAAGGAACGACGAACTGCGAGATCGATCGTATCGTATCGTGGCCAGGGCAGCGGCTCAACCTCAACTGTGTGCCTGTTCGGTGGCTACGAAATTCCAATTTCCAATCGCAGGGAAAGCTACAAGTTCCAATAGCAGCGCCGGCAGAGGCAGCAAAAATTGTAAACAACAACGAACGGCGCCATGCTCTCTCGCTCCATGAACCTGCTCCCCAACAGCAACAGCAGAGAGCGGGAGAACGGGCTCCACAAAGTAACGGCGATGCGATGATACTCGTACTATGGCGTGATACGGCAGCCACAGACACAGCCACAGCCACGGCAGCAGAAACGAAACGCAAGAGAGATCTCTCCTCTCCTCTCCTCTCTTCTCTTCGCTGCAATCGGCTCTCGACTCGACAGAAAACCCGTTTCTGGAAAGAGCTTTTTGGCTGGAAATGAGCGCTCTCCCCCGCTAGAATCAGAAACAATTTAATTGTTTAAACTTTTCAAAGGCGCCGCAAAGTAGGCAAGCTTTTTTCCGCCTTGATTCGCGATTACACAATATTCACACACACACACCTACGCACACCTACACTTGTACGAGTACACGAGTACTGTTATATCGAATTGCCTCGCACCTGCAACAATTCCTCCAATCGGACCATTTATTTCCAGTTACCCATATCGGAATGGAGTCCATATTTGTTTATGACTCGTAAAAACACACAAAAACTATTTACCGATGACTCAGTCCACGGCCACAGCCATGGATATGGAATGTTCGGAATCGGAATCCTCCTCCTGTGCCGCAGCTGTAGAGCCGGCAAACGGCGGATGATAACTAAAAAATGTGGCCATGTTGCACGCAACCAGTTCCCGGCCACTGCGCCTGCGTCATGGCACAGCCACCCACTCTTGTAGCACTGTGTAAACATGCCACACACACCACATCCTATCCTCAATTGGAGCTCAAGTCGCGAATACTTAAAGCGGAAATGCGTGGGGACGGGCCTCATAAAAGTCAGAGGAATATTTATGATAATAGGCGGATGCAGAGGCAAAGCAAAGGGGGATGGGGCGACAGCATTCAATCGAGCAGGGTCCAAGAGTGCTCTCTCCACAGAAGGATCCATCAACACTACACCATAATCGATTCTTGGGCAATAAATATACATATAACACTCTTCGAGTGCACTCACGAAACGATGGGCCCAAAGAAATAATCATTCGATTTATGAAGCACTGCGGCGCTTGCAGTGGTTTCAGCTTTTATTCAAAATGCATTCAGAAATAGTCATACACTGGCTGTGAATGTACGAGTGGGTGCTGCATACAGTTAACAGTTTACAGTTGAACATGAGGATTAGCGGTGCAGTTCTGTGTATGTTTTGGGTAGTCAACTGTTAGTCAATAACAAGATGAGCTTTAATGCGAAATTTAATGGTTATGTGTAGAGTAGATGTAGATATAGTCAGTCGGGACAGCTCCTAGACGGCCTTGTAGACGCGCACGCTCTTCACGGCACCGATGGTGAGGGTCTGCGGAGAGGTGGTACAGAGGGGGGGAACGGAAAGCAGTGGATCAGCAAAAGGATCATCCGAGAGAGGATATCGCACAACGAATACTTACGGTGGTCAGATCGGTGTCGGTGAACTCACGGACAATGGTCGAGGGCTTGTCGCCCTTCTGCTCCTGGGTGAGCTTGTTGCCGTCGAGGGTGATGATGCTCTTGACCTGGCGGCCATCGAGGGTCTCCTCGTCGAACTCCTCGCCCAGCTTGAAGCTGATGGCGGAGGTCTTGAACGTCGAGGTGGTGGTCATGGTGTACGTGTCACCCTCCAGGGTCACCTCCACAGTGGGGCTGATGCTGTTGCCCATTTTGCGGAGGACCAGACCAACGCCTGCAAAAAAGATGGCATGAGTCTTGCATTCGATATGGCATGATTTATGGAGGAGAGGAAGTAGCGGGGACGGGGAAAGGGACTGCACCTAATTGAATTAGCCCCCGCCAAAGAGCATGGCACAGCTCAATGCTCAATGCAAATCATATTATATTTAATTAAAAATAATAAAGCTGAATTATGAGAGAAGTTCCCTGCTGCAGAAACCGACGCAGACGCAAACGCAGCCGCAGATGGAGATGCAGAGAGACGTCAAAAGTCGTGCTCAAGGTTAACGAACAATGCGGGCAGGCATCTGCCGCTCCTCCTCTTCCTTTTGGAGCAGCAGCTTATCAATTGGCCAGCCAGTCCCCAGACCCCCCGCTCTAAATATAGCGCGATGGGCGCGACCCCACCTTATCTGTAGATTCTGATGCTGACGCTGCACCGCGTATGCCACGTATCCTACAGAGAAAGGGGGAGAGGTCTCTCCCTCCCCCTCCCCCTCCAATCAAACGGACAAATCAATTATGTTCAATTATGTATGAACAAAATGAACAAAAGTCAAATGTCGAGTCAAGTGTTCTACGCTCGATAAGTTCCCACCGATGACCACCGATGGGAGCCCCAGCAACTGTCCCAAAGTTCGAGGAGAACCTTGAATAGATTAGCTGTCCCTCCCCCCCAACCCACCCCACCCCATTCCCTGCAATTTCCTACGGAACCGAACGATAAGTGCTGCGCCGCCGTCAAAGTGCAAAATCCGTAATCGGATCGCAATTATCGAGCCCATATATAAGCATATAGTTTATCACTCCCCTCACAATTCACATATAATATACTTTGTATAGTATATTGACCGGCTGATAGGAGACGAGGGGCCCTATCAACAGGTTGTCCTCCAAGCATACACCCCCACCCCTGCCCCTCCCAGATTTTACCGAGTACTGTAAGTGGAGGCTTGTTTGGATTTTGGAAAATTGAGAGGCGACGAGGCGACGTGGCTACGTTGCTACGGGGGAAACCGCAGAAAATATAACAAATTTCAGGGAAACGCAGCCGCAAAACAGAACTCACGCCACACACAAAGCGATGCGACGCGACAGCTCCAGTTTCCATCACCCGATCTCGATCCAAGACCGGCCGGCCCTCCCCCCATTTCTATGTCTAGACTCTAGACTACAGACCTGGGGACAAGGGCAAAGATCGGAAGCACCTAACTACCTATCTAACGTTTTTGGGTTGAGTGCAAAGTTCAGTTCCGAACTTTCCCCCATACGTACATATGTATGTACACATGTTCGTTTATGATAGCACCTGTCGCAAACAGTCTAAATTATAGAGCAAGAACATTACTTATAGAGACAAAGAGAGAGGGAGAGAGAGATTAAGCAACTTTTCGGGTGACTCAAAGAGGAGGCCGTTGACCAAAGTTCATCATTTGCCTAATTAGTTTTTTCGCTTTTTCTGGGTCTACTCGAGCGTTTACTGCCTCTCTTTACGACTATTCATGACCATTCATGTTCGCCCCCCGATAAGACTTTATGACTTTAATGCGCTTTGCACTCGAAATTCGCCAACGCAACTGTAAATTTTTGGTACAGCAGCATCGGCAGCATCAGCACGTTTCTTCTTCGTTGCCTCTTCCTTCTTCTTCCTTACCTCATCTCTATTGATTTCCCGCACACACACCGATGGCAGATTTGGCATACTATTGCGAAAAAAGCCGGCCGGTGGTTTTCAGCTGCTCCCCTCCCTCTCTGCACTCTCTATTATTTAAGCTGCATTGCGCAAAAATATTTCAATCGATCCTATTTTTGGCACTCACCCAGCTCCTTCATGTACTCGTCGAAGTTCTCGGACTTCTCCAGCTTGTACTTCTTGCCAACGAAAGATGCCATCGTAGAAATTTGATTTTTTTTATTTCACTTCGAAAAACAAGAACCAACGGAACTGAAAGACTGCAAAAAGCTTCGCGTCGCGGGGGCTTTATATATACGAGCACAACAAAAACGAGGGGGAACGTTGTGAGTTGCTGCGGACACCGCAACTCTACGGTTATACCCGATACTAAGTCAGTATGGCTCTCCTCCGGCAGACGCCGCTAATATTTAACGACACGACAAAGAGTGCGTGCGAGAGAGACAGAAAATCAGTCTGAGCGTGACGTCGGGCGCTGCGTAGCCACTGCAAATTGATTTGTTCCTTTTGGCTATAAAAATGATCTGATCTGATCCAGATTCAGCAATCTAATAGATATGGTCATTATCTATGATTCTGCGTTTTTAGTTTTCTCAAATCTGCAATATTGTGGTTGCCTCAGATTTTCGTCCTTTGCGGGGGCGGAAGGGGGTGTGGCGAAATTTGGACATGAAACGGTCAAGGTCCGATATCACAGGAGTGTGGATACCAAATTTGGTTGCTCTGGCTTTTATAGGTTCTGAGATCCTTGAACTCATATTTTGCAATTGGCAAAACCGACCATGAAACCTGTGTGTTAGAGTGAGACAGAGCGAGAAAGAGTGAAATTGTTTTCTTGATTCTGGCTGTAATAGTTATACGATCTGGTTCAGATTTTGCACTCTAGAAGATATAGTCATCTTCTACGATTCTGCGTTTTTAGTTTTCTCGTATCGTCGAAATTGTGGATGCCACATATTTTCGCCCTTTGTGGGGGCGGAAGTGGGCGGGGCAAAGTTTTGAAATATTTTTGGAGCAGTGACATATCACAGAAGTCTGGATCAAAAACATCGTTACTCTAGCTCTTATAGTCTTTGAGCATTAGGCGCTGAAGGGGACGGACAGACGGACAGACGGACGGACGGACAGACGGACAGACAGACATGGCTCAATCGACTCGGCTATTGATGCTGATCAAGAATATATATACTTTATGGGGTCGGAAACGATTCCTTCTGGACGTTACACACATCCACTTTCACCACAAGTCTAATATACCCCAATACTCATTTTGAGTATCGGGTATAATAATAAAGTTCGGAGCGCAACGGGAACAGTGTGGCCGCAGATCTACCGATAAAATATACCGTAAATATACTGACGAATTGGAGTTCTATTATACATATTCCTCGTTTTTGATCTTCCGTCGGATATTAATAGCTAGAAAGAACGCCAGGCTATGCCCACATAATTTTATCCGATTAATGAGCCTATTTTGTACTTGACTGGTTTATTTTATACTCTTGCTTTTGTTGGATTTTGCCTAAAAAAAAGGTTTTTGCGAAAATGGTCAAACAAAAAAAAACGGGCTCAATTTCGATATTCCGTTGAATAATGCTGGCTAACGAAGACCCTTAGCTCAGCCCACATAGTTTTATCCCATTAATGAATACATTTTCCACAAGATTGGCTAGTTTTTAGTCCTTTAAAGAAATAAATATGGAATGGGACTCGTTGTTTCTAACGATTCATACCCGATTCAAAGAAGAGGGCAAGCACTTCGGTATATGTACAGTATGTCAAGAAACTCTTTACACACTGAAATTAAATTACATTTTTTGACTTTGGATAAGAAAATAATGGCCTTTGGTTCAAATTTATCAAATTTTTTTTATTCTTAACCATTCAGGGATTAATTATAAAGTAGTTAGTGTCAAAAATGAGTAATCATTGTTTTTGTTGTTTTGTAAGTTACCTATTTATAGTTTTGTTATTCTTTTTTCACTAACTACTTTATAATTAATCCCTGAATGGTTAGGAATTAAAAAAATTTGATAAATTTGAATCAAAGGCCATTATTTTCTTATCCAAAGTCAAAAAATGTAATTTAATTTCAGTGTGTAAAGAGTTTCTTGACATACTGTATGTATTTTTAGCTTTCGCTCTCTGAAAGCTCCTTTTTGTCGCTCTCCTCTCCAACGATTCTATTCTATTGTCGAATTTGAAAAGTTTCGTGTGTGTGGGGCTGGACACCCACCTCGGGCTGTAGACCAGCCCCCTTGCACCTTGGCTTGGCGTGATCAATTCGGGTGCAGCTTTAATTGAGTCAAAGGGACCGACTTAATAACGGACGCGACACTAGCACTAGCACAGATCTTATGCTACATATCATATAGGAATACCCCCCACGTCCAAGGAATTCTCATAAATTGGGTCAGCCACACCGGCCGGCGCATCTTTGGCCCCCATTTAAATGTTTGCTGGGTCTGGCGACACAATCCATTGCATATACTAAATAATGTATGTATCTTTTGAAATCCGTTGAATTGTAATCTAATCGAGCATTTCCTTCCACCCATGCCAATCCAATCCAGTGGCTATATTAATATTACACACGATCTCCTCCCCATCCATTCCCCTCCCCAAGTCCAGAAGACGCACCTACCGAACGATTTCATTCTGTTTGTTGCTTTCTGTTATCTCATTAATTCAATTACTGCCTTGCTTCTCCTTCTTCTCTTAGTTGCAGATAAAACGCTGGCCCCATCCATGGGAGTTTTTCGATGGGAACTGCTGTGTACATATCTTATCTACGGTGTACAAAAATAGCTGTCTGCAATTCAAAAAATCGTTTGTATTCGCCGTTAATCGATATACATCTATCGTTTCCTTTTCCAGTGTATCGAAGTGCCGCCTTGGCGAACACATTTCAAACACGTAGAACGACGAGAGATCATTGCATTATGATCTCTGTTATTTCATAAACTATAAAACAAATCCATATACTCTAAATATATTTATTCAGATTTCAATAGTCTGATACTATTCGTTTTTACATTAACAACATGGAAATTATTGAACAAATATTAACAAAAAATGGCAACAAAAAATCATCATCATTATTTTCTTGATCTTTTTCTCTTTTTAACTGAAATCAGGGCCAAGTAAGTGAATGCCTTTGTGCATTCGAAATATGAGACACCCCCGCAGCAGCCTATGTCCATTTTTGTAAGCTATAGATCCATACTGTCATATATGTATGCGTAGATATTGTATTTTTAGAATTATCCAAAGGAAATAACAGTGATTAATTAGAGGTATACCTAAAATAGATTCGTTATACATATATCAAAATGTACATTTTTGTTTGTTTGTTTGTTTGTTGAGAAGGAAGCCAGTGTGTGTGCGGTCTAAATACAACTGAACTTTCAATGAATAATCCAAATTAAACCACCGATCGACAATCATTAAATAGGCGAAAATATTCAAATCAATAGAAGAATCTATTTGGGTTTCATTGGCTTTCTGATAAGATACGTTTTCGGTTCTCGATAGTAGTGCTGTTCGATTTCATTAAGCTGAGTTCTGTGTGTACTTGATGATACATACAATGTACAATTTTTCAGAAGACTAATATTAAATACAACTAAAAGTGTAACAAATCTTGGGAGCTCATATGTACTCGCGCATATATACAGGATTTCGTATCTCTTTAATTTCGAATGTGTAAGTGGTTGAATCTAAACGTAATGAGACACATATCGCCACACTTAACATCATATCATTAGTGGGTTGTAGTGGTAGTGGGTATGTGTATGCACTATTTTCCAAACAAAAGAGTTTAAAGGAAGGGCCTTAATTGGTATTTCTTGTTTTTTTTTAACTAAAATATTTATATTTCATTGTTTGTTCAGTCAACAGACGAATCCTTCGCAGAATTCGTTTGTTCAACACCTAAATAATAATTCAAATGTCGCTACAATTAGCAACAGCAACTAAACTAAATACCGCAATATAAAATTATTTATGTATGTAAAATATTTACAATCATTCCAAACTTGTGTGTATGTGTTTGTGTTTTTGTTTCTCTTAAAATCTAGTTCTAATCGTAGTTTTCTTGCTGTTATTAGATTCCGTAAATGTGGGATGCCTTGTGTGTGCGTGTTTGTGTTTAATAAATATTGTTTATGTATGTGCAAAGCATTTTTGAGTAGCAGGGATTACAGTTTTCAATATTCCGCCAAAAATAAATACGTTTCGATTGCATTGAATAATTATAGAACATAACTTTTGAAAAGTTTGTTGCATTGCAAGGAGTAAAAATGGTTAGAATTCGATTAGTTTATAAAAATTGTATGTATAATGTACAATATGCTAAAATCACGGCGTCAATGTAAATATTTTGAAAACTGTTTCACCACTGTATATGATTGTAAAAATGTTTTAAACGCAAAACAAAACCATATTATGTTTAAAGAATTTCAAGGAGGGGCTTTTGCGTACCAAATATTTTCCCAAAATAAATTCTAGAATCATGGGATGGGCGGTACCAACATAATTTGTCGACAGTGTTTTCCTGTAGTTGTTTCTCGATCAGAAATGCTATTAGTTAATGGATTTTGGAGGCTGCTTCCGTGTTTCGTAGTATATTTAATCGTTTATAGGGCCAGGTTATTTCGACGACCGTTTACCTTATTGACTAAATTGCAGATTTTTAAGGCTGGTCCCAGCTTCAGGCCCATGTACTTCATCATCATTTCTGAGTTTAGCAACAATAGTGCCTTCCCGTCGATTTCCTGCATGCAATCGATTAGAATTAGATCAGAATACGCTTTGAGGCGGAGTTTGTGGGTACTTACATGCTTTCTAAAGAGATCGCCGTGGACTGAGAGCGAGTGATCGTTGCTCTCGATGTACTGGATGACTTCCTCGATGGACCAGTCGATGGGCTGTGAGCGCAGGTGCGACGCAGATGCGGACGTGGGTGTGCTGAGGGGCGAGGTAATTGCTGTGTAACTGGTGGAGGCTGCAGCTCCCCCTGCCGGCGCTGTGGCGGCCTTGGGCGCCGTCACTCCCCCTGCAGCCAGTGCAGTGGATGATGCCGACTGGCAGCCAGTGAACGGAGTCGACACGGACGTTGGCAATGAGGCGCTGGAGGAGAGTGTTGTCGGCGATTTGTAATAGCTGTTCGAGACCTTCGCGTTGATCTGTTCCGGATGCACTTCGGCAACCAGTGGGGCCAGGTATTTTCCAATAGAACTCGCATTAGCTGTCCCACCCGCCGCCAAACTTGTGGTCGACGACGAGGACGACGACGAAGAATTGCTCACCGGCGGCGTCGTTTGGTTTGTCTCTGTGTTTCCGTTGTTGGTTATACTATTGTTGTTGTTGTTGTTTGTGTGATGCTGGAAGCGTACTTTGCGCAAGGCCTGCGTGGTGGTGGATGTCCCTCCGCCGGTCACGCCGTTGGGTTCTGTTTTGACGACCACCTTCGCATTGGGTTTGCTCCCAGGGTCACTCCCGTTGTTTGACCCGTGGCTGTTTTGATTACTCTGATGATTCGTATGCTCTTTCCCGTTGTTCGGCAGGGGTTTGGTCTTCACGTCCGACGGTGATTTGGCGCCCGTCTCCTGCTTGATCACCATCTTGTCGGAGGACGTCCGATGCCGCTTATCGGACAGCACGGGCGATGAGGGAGGCGTAGACGCCTGCGTCAGCTGACGCTTTCTGCTTTGGGCGCACTTCTTGCATTCTTCGGTCTCGTGGACGAGCGAGATGAGATTGGCACATGCCCGGCATGTGGTGCACAGCGTCTCGATGAACTGGGCCAGACTCTCCTCGTCCTTCATGCGCATTGGCGATGGGATTTTGACCTAAACCATACCCACACCATAACACACAATTAATAAACATTCGAAACGAAACGAAGGATCATTTGCTGTGAACTTACTGTGAAATTCTTGCCTGCTGCAGTCACAATGTGCACGTCTCCTTCCAAGGCGAACAGCAGCTTGGACAGCTGCTGTGTGTCCGTGCTTGCAGCGAGGACTTCCTGCAGACACAGCTTGGCCAGCGTTTGGTACGTCGGTCCCGTCACCATGCACGGCAGCTTCGAGTTGTTGATGAACGGACCGCCCTTGCAGTTCGGATGGAAGTGGGCGGTGGCCGGAGAGGCGGGGACCATGGCCTCCGACTCGGTGACAACAGTGTAGCGGGGGCGCGGGCAACGCTGCTTGCCCGAGCTGGAGTCCATGCGGGACTTGTGGCCCGGCGGCTGCATGGGATGACAGCTGCGGGCACACCATCCGGCGGGAAAGATGTCTCTGGACCGGTAGTTGCACCAATAGTCGAAGGCCCCACGCCAGCCGTCGAACGTCACGTGTATTTGGTCATCCTTGATCGCATCCACAGTGGCGCAGCAAATCAACTGAGGATTTTTCTTATCCACTGCCTCCAGTTTCTGGCCAACTTTGAAGAGATTCTCCTCCGGCGACGGCGGCTCTGGCTGGAAGATATCCTCGGGCGCTACCATAGCGTTGATGAGGATTTTGCACAAGTAACCGGGCCAGCTAGAGGCATTCATTCTGAATCCCAGCGGCGGCTGCAACATGCCATTGTTCTTCTCGCAGTGACCGATCGCATGGATCTCCGTGGAGTCCACCAGGCGCCAGAAGTCATTCTGCGAGTCGCTTCCGTCGAGACGCAGCCGAAGTCTGGATCCCAGCACCCCCACGACTGTGGCAATGCAGGTGGAGGTGACATTGCGTGGATCCAGCGCTTCCAGCTTCATCCCAATCTTGAAGTCATTGATGGGAGGATTTTGGGCCTGTTTAAAGCATTCCGCAGGGGCGGCTTCGCTGCCAGTTTCCTAAAAACACAGGAAAAACAATAGTTAATCGTAAATACACAGTGGAAAATAGTTTACTAGTTACCTCCAGGTAGGCATCCCAGTCGAAGACATGAAAGCTCTCGTATTGGAAGGGACCTGCTGGGGCGGGCGCTCCACTGCTCAGCAATTTGCGCTCGCTTTCGGGTAGACCCTTTCCCCCGCCTGACCCTCCACCACCTCCATGCCTGGTGGAGCAGTTCTTCTTCTGGTGTTTGTTCATGCACATAATCGAGCAGAATTCCTTGTTGGGTGCTCCATCCCTGATCACATTGTCGCACTGGGTGCACGCGCCCTTGCTGTACGCCTTGCGGAACTCGGCAATGCACGTCTCCGAGCAGAACTCCTTCTTCCCCGTCTGGGTGGGCAGCACATACTGCAGGGGCAGCTTCCCCTCGCCACACCAGGTGCAGGTGGCCCTCTTGGCCGGACGACCACGTTGTCTTTGGGTGGATGCAGGCGATGTGGTTGCTGCCGCTGCTGCTGTGGTGGTGGAGTTGCTGCTACTGCCACTGCTGGTGCCACTAGTGCTGCTGTCGCGTCCGCCAGACATTCTGCTTCGTTAATTTTGGTCTTTCTAATTACGTTTAGCTGATATTTCACATTCGCATCTCAATGGATGCCCTCATTCGTTCTGCTCACTTGCAATGGTATTTGTGTTTAAGCGGCAACTCGCAGTCGGTGGGTGGCCAAGCCAAAAGAATTTTAGCACAATTTCCTTCACTGCGTAAAAGCCCGCCCGTCGCACTGGATTTTGTGATTGATCGTGGGCGCTTTGCCTTTGAAGTTGAAAGTCAATGCTGCGCGATATTCGCTATTTTTTGTGTCTGCTTTCTGTTTTTGAGCAAACTATTTTTTGCGGCGTTTCCGAGGTCACGTAATAACAATTGAGCGCATTGCGACACGACTCCCAGAAAATGCACTCCACATACACAAATTGTCGCCGATTCGGTAATCCCATTTGGCATATCTCAACACCGAAGCAACATTTTCGTTTCGGTTCGCAAAAACTTCAATTTTTGATTGTTTAAATACACAATTAACGCCGAATTTTTACATTTTTTCTATTTTTGCGTTCAGATCCGCCATATTTGTTTTCGTAAGTGTGACCGCATATTTGTCAGCGATATATACCATCGTTCTCTCAGACATATACCGATATATACCGTAAGAATATCGATGAAAAACGAACGTAGCCCATTAGCCCGCCTCTATTTAAACAAGTGAAAAAACTTGAGTAAAGCCACGGAAAATAATAATATTTGTAAATATTTCCTGTACATTAATTGTATTGCGTATCAATAACCTGTCACTGGTATTTTTAAGCACTAAATCACTGTATGGGGAACAGATGTATCGATAGCAGCAATATATCGATGTATGCGATAGTAATTTATCAGTTAAATATAAATATTTAAGATTATCTGAAATTTGAACAAATCCAATGGTAGTAGTAGATAGAGGGTTTCTAAAAGGATGATTTTTATATGATTGAAGTCCACAGGTCATTTATCAGATTGAGCTGATTGAAATTAAAGCATGCTGCTGCTTAATCTTTTGACTACTCATCCTTGACAACAACAACCATGGAAAAAGTTACGCAAATGCCAAGTCAGGGCTTAGAATACCTGAAAAACTTTTTCACTAACTTCTTTCTTGGTATTTGGTATTTCCCCCTTTGGCGCGTAACTTGATTTAATTGAAAGGCTTCAAACGTAATCCGCAATGAAACTTATGGCAAGTAGGCTCGAAAGAGACTGCAACTGGAAGCCAACAACGGAAACTGAGCTCTAACTAAGACAATAAACGTTGCTAATTAAATGTTGTTGTGGAGGTTCTGGAGACTTATTTAGCATTGTTTCTTAAATTATTAATCACTCGGTTCGACCGACACTAAGGCACAAACTAAGGTTCCTTGGCATTATATTATTGCGTATTAACGTGTATAATTGGATGAAGCCGGTTAGCCGTTGGATGTCGATAGCCTGGTTAATGGATAATTGGATGAATTGAAGCGGCTGCCTTTGGCTCTTGGCTCCTCATTAAATGACCGTTTAACACCGTTTAGTCGCTTAGAAGTCGATTAGAAAGGGCTGTGAAGAGGGGACAATCTGGTTGAGTCATTGACTTATTACGCAAATCAAACAAAAGATTTTCCCCCAGCGCCCTGGGGGTGGGATGGGAGGGCGTACTGTACTGAGCATTATCGGTGTGTTAATAAATAAATTAATGAGTTTTGTCTTTGTCAACTGAAGTGTATGTGTATGGCAGGAATGAACCCTAAAAAGGAATGGTTGGACATGAGTTTGCGTTTAAGGGACACTACCTTAACATTTGGCCGCACTTTGGACAGAGATTGATTTGTCTTTAAAGACAGGCTCTTGGGGGGTGACCACCTTTGCAAAAGTACAGATAAACACTACTGTACATCTTTGTGCGGATGACACTTAAAAACCGCCCACCATCACGCACGCAGGAAAAAGATAACAGGCACATTTTGACAGAATTCAATCAGCTATAAAAAATGCTGGGCCACAGCTACGGCTACGGCTATGGCTACGTGCTTAATTACAAAAAACCCCACATACACCCCACATGTCGCAGACACGTGTTGACAGCAATTAAAAGCATGTCAAAGTTCGTAGGCGGCACAAGTGCTGTCGATAAGTCAAATCATATCCTACTCCACTCCTACAATGTTGCTATGAACTTTAAAAACAAGCCTTCGATTGTGAAAGGTTGATTTTATAACTAGTTGTACAAAAAATACAATTTCCAATTCCCCAAAGCCGAGAACCCAGAACCAGTCTGTTCCTCTGTCCCCCCCCTGTAGGCGGAGGGGTTTGACGGATTTATGGCGAGCAATTTTACACCTGAATGCGATGAGAATGCGTTGGCCAAGAATGTCGGAAAACGTTAGCCAAAGACATGACATTGAGTGGCGCTGGGGTTCCTTTTCCTGATCCTGTCCAACAGGGGTAACAATTAATGTGCAAATAAAACTCATTAATTATTAATTGAGTTCAATAATTACAATGTCACTCCGACCTGGGTGCCAGGCAGGCGCCTGCGTTGGTGAAACTTTTGGAAACTACTTAATTACGATAATCCCTTGGGGATGGTCAGTTTCCATTCCAAAATACCCTATGCTATATGTAGATCCTTTGTTCTAGTATTGCTTTGCTTTCATCTTGGTCCTTTCATATCGGAAATGTCCTTCAAGGTAAGGTGGCTTAAAAGGTGCGTGGCGCACGTCTCGCTTCCATTCATTCATAACTCGGCCGCATGGCTCAACATCGTTTCCTTCCTCATTGTCATCATCGTGACTGCTCGTCTGTCATCGTTGCTGCCACACGGCCACACGGCCACTTCGTGTGGCAGCTTCGTTTTGTGTTTAATATAAAAACACGCCATGAATGCTCTGGAGCCTGAGTTCTCCGTTCGTCGTCAGCCTGTTGCGTTCATACTAGTCGCCAGAGCCAGAGCCAGTGTCAGAGCCAGAGTCTGGTACACCAGAGCAGAGCTTCAGGCATCGCTATTCCCCAACACGCCTTTGGCATCGCGACGCGGCGCGGCTCGTGAATACATAAAAATCGAAATCCGGTCTAACAAATAGATATATCCCGATCGTCATACAATACATTGTATTCCAGATACAAAGAATTTGGGGCGGGCATTACTATTGAGAAGGTGACTTTCTGTTCAAGTGAATATTTCGAAACGGGTTTTGTAATTTAAAGTAAGATTCTAAATGGTTTGAAGGATATTTGGAAGAAAAGTTGAAAGAAAATATACAAAACTGTGGAAGGAAACATGAACTGTGGAAGCTGTTCCCCTTGCTTCATAAATATCTTCATAAAAGTTCCATTATAACTAGTAATTCGTAAAAGGTTCTATGATGCTTGATTTAATTCATGAAAACAGGCAGTTCCATCTTTTAAGTGTGCCCTTTTATCCTTCTTAAATATCATTTAGGAAACACCCTTGTCGGATTACAAGAACCAAAACTTTTCGCTCTTCTCTGTTCGTAGGATATTTGCATATAAATATGTACATATTCTGTATGTTTTGTACATAAAGTTCGAATAGATAAGGCAGCAATTTGGTTGCCTTTGTTGAGATATTTTCTTCTTTTTTCTTTGTATTTTACGGATGAAATCAAGGAGCATCCTGGCACACAGCTGGAGGCAATCACGTTTCCGACAGCGGCACATATATTGTATATTACAATGCCTGACGAGAGCACAATTATCGCCGGGGCACTAGGCCATGGGAGTGGAGTTTTATTGCTCATACGACTAGGACTAGGACTAGGACTATTCGGTGGTGTACCAAAATCAATATTTATTCAACTTCAAATAGAAAAAAAATGTGTGGGCCAAAGCCAAGAAGTATTATTAGAAAACTCTGCCGTGAACTTTAACATTTCCCCTCGATATCCATTCAAGATGGAATCAATAGTCAGGTGTCAGCCAATGGTCTGACGACTGCCAAAAGTGCGAACCCGCAAATCCTTTTTCCCATGAAATGGCACTCATACATATTTGACATGTGATTACCGGCACTTCTAATGCTGCTGCCATTTTAACAGATACTTATATTCGATGGCAAATACTACTCGAACGAGTAGTTATGTTATCCCCTCTAATGCTCCTTCTGACAGGTGAGATATCACCCCCCACCCCCCCTGCCTCTAAACTCTGGCAGGGGGGCTCAAAGGAGGCACAACCATCTGCACACATCTCGTAGTATATATTTTGCTTATTTCGATGGAAAATTGAATTCATTAGAATAGTTTCCGAATGGACATGTACGGAATATTTCGACCCAAAAAACACCCCCCCGCCTGACGACTAAATTTTAAAAAAGTCCCTTTTGGCATGGACTCAGGCCCGGACGGACGGATGGATGGACCGCATTCGTACTCGTGTTCATATTTATGTGACCCATAAATTATACGAGCGCTTCTTGTTGTCAGGGAATATGATGCACATTTCTCACAGGTTAGCTGTCAGCGGTTTAATATTTTCTATTCCAGCGGGAAAAAGTGATAGGTCAAAGGTTGCATTTTGAAAACCGAACAAAGCCCAGGTCGTAATTTACTGAATTTCCCTACAAAGTATCCACCACATTCATTGAATTACTTGCAAATCTGCGAATCCCGCAGCCGTAGAATTGTTTCTCACTTTTTGTCACTTTATTCCAGAAATGATGAAAGCCACAGCGTGGTTTTGTCCGGTGTTATTAACTTTACTGTGTGCAACGAGGCTCGTTTGTACGGCACAGAGGGGCACGGGCACGGGCACAGACGCAGAGCAGCAGCCCGCCGGAAACAGCCACACAAACGGATATCCTTTGGACTACCTGGATGCACGGAACACACAGGTGCGAATTGCATATACATATTTCCTTTTATTTTTTCTGTTTCTGTTGCTGTTTCTGCTTTTTGGATTGCCAACAGTTTTCTTTGAATGGATATTCAATTACTTGCATCGAAAACATCACCTGTGCCGACACGGGCTTCAAAAGGTTGATAGGTTTTCCCAATGAAAGGATAACTAACTTATTTCAGTTTTAATATATTCCGAATACTTCGGTTTTTAGCAAAAAAAAAAAACCAGTACAAACGCCCTGCAAAATTGCACGTTTCCCGATTTTACTGGTTTTTTTCTATCTCACAAATTGGTTTTCAGTCAAGTGGCCTTAATCCTTTCCAACTAATCTCCTTCCTTTTATAATCTAATCTTGATAGTACTCGCACTTGAGTACTTCGGGGGACAGGTAATGCCTCCTCAAGTACCTTCATACGGGGTATACGTACTTCCAAATCTCTTGCGATAGGTTGCTTTCAATGCCATTGATTATGTCTTCTGGCCTGACAACATGAACAGCAAACAACAATTTTTGGCTAACGATTTGATTTATCTATGCCTCATGCCTCACCTAATTAGACGACAACAAAATGTTTATTTGCTTTTACAACTCTTGTTGACAATCAAAAGTTTTTAAGGAACTTTTAGGGTACTTAGGAGAACAAATAACTTATGTTGTTTGTTGTATTTGTGGGCCAGAGGAATGGAGCCACGGAGAGGGAGAGAGCGGAAGCTTAAATTAAGTAAATCTGCGGCTTTTTAGCTAAGTTTGTAATTAAATATATTTCAGAGAACATCCGCCAAATATTATTGTCATAGGAGGTTCATTTTGGTATTTCGTGAAACTAGGGCTAGAACATTTACTCTAGTCATGCCCAGAAGCTTGGAGTTATTGAATCCTTCCACCCCAAGGCTCTTCAGACTGCGACAATGGCGAGTGTAGATCCGCTTCCCTCCTGGGAGTCAGTGGTGGATTCCTCCGGCTCTTCGGGAGATTGAGTGGTTTCCTCTGATGATCCGCTTCCCTCCTCCGAGTCAGTGGTGGAATCCTCTGGCTCCTCTGGTGATTGGGTGGTAGAGTCTTCGGGGCTTTCGGAACCATCAGAGGTTTCCTCATCGGAGTCAGTGGTGGAATCCTCGGGATCCTCCGGTGATTGGGTGGTAGAATCCTCGGGGCTTTCGGAACCATCAGAGGTTTCCTCATCGGAGTCAGTGGTGGAATCCTCTGGCTCTTCGGGAGATTGGGTGGTAGAGTCTTCGGGGCTTTCGGAACCATCAGTGGTTCCCTCATCGGAGTCAGTGGTGGAATCCTCCGGTGATTGGGTGGTAGAGTCTTCGGGGCTTTCGGAACCAGCAGTGGTTTCCTCGTCGGCATCCGTTGTGGACTCATCTGGCCCCTGTGTCGTTTCGATTGGTAAATCAGTAGTGGAATCCTCTGGCTCTCCAGGAGACTGTGTGGTTGAGACTTGAGGCTTTTCCGGAGCAGCAGGGACCTCCTCTGATGAGTTTTCCTTCGAAGATTCGTCGCTTCTGTCGTGTTTAGCCCTAATGTGGTGTTCCCATTCGTTGGCTCTCGGTCTTCCGCCGCTGATCCTCCAGTGGCCCGAAACACTTCCCTTCCAGCCACCATGTGGCTTGGCGGCCACTGTGGCCATCAGCGCGGCCAGCAATAAGAGCGAAAGAACCTTCATTTTGCAAAGTTTTAGAGTATACTAACCGGAACGACATTTGGCAATTTGCTTTTATAAAAATCAGATAATCATTCCAGATATTGTGACCATACATGGACGTTACGTTATCTAATCGGTAGCCATGGCAAAGGTGGTTTCTGATAGCCGAAATTATAGCGCAGATTGTATGTAATTTTATTTGAATATGTGTACCCATTTCGCTTTGGATTCCATGTACAAAAATCAATCAAAATGCGATCCAAGTGGGAAATATCTGAACCCAACACGAGGTATCTTTCTGCCGGGACACTGGACTCCACGGCTGTGTTTTTTGGCTTGTTATACATAGATAAATATGTATGTAATTTAGCCAATTTGTTGACTCACACCACACACAATTCGTTGTTCTAGATGTTTTTATCAACAAAGGGCTGTTATCTTGAGTCTGTCTAACAGGTTTTTAAGTGGAAAAAAACCTGAAAAAAACAACGATAAGATTTTAAAGTGTGATTCCAAAACAACAGTTTTCCATAATTTACAAAACAAGAATCCAACACATCACAACATAACACATCACTGATATGCTGATGATCCAATAAATATATTTATAGCCTCAGGATACCCTAGAACTAGTCTTGTGAAATATATGCAATAATCAGAGCCTTTTATGCATTATCCAAGTTTGTCTTGAGAACTTTTCGCCAAGTAATTGTATACTTTTCTCGTCTAGGATGATTTTTTGCTCGCAAAGCGCAACAAGCCGTCCCTGTCCATCGTCAATCCGTTGGATGTCCTGCGTCAGAGGCTGCTCCTGGAAATAGCGCGCAGGCAAATGAAGGAGAACACGCGGCAGGTGAGTGAGAGAAAGTGTGATAAATGCGATATGAAATGGGGCTGGGCGGAACGCCGCATTGTTTGACCACTTTGCGTGGTATTTTTAATAAGAAAGGAAACACACAAACTTTTCCCCAGGCGCCAGGAGAAAGTTGTTAAGCGTAATTTGGTGTGGCGCGGAGTATAAATGAAAATATGGCAGGGCGGGTCTAATCAAAACTAGAATGAAATGCCTAATGAGAAATATTTCGAGAAAACCCATAAAGAAGGCAGCTGCTCAAAAGTTTTTTAATACCTCAAGCAAACAAAGCAAAACATTACAATACACTTTTCTATAATAAAATATACAAGTACTTATCGTATCGTGGCAAGTTTTTGTTTGCCGTTTATCAACGATTATGTTTGCCATATCATTGGAGCATTAAAAAGCAAACGAAATAAATACCTACGTATATATATCGACCTGAAACTCTATATAGACCTTTATAAATATGTATATATTGTATATAGAAAAGGCCTAGCAGGAGGAGGAGGAGCTCCCAAAACCAGGCACTGCGTATGTGTAAAACAAATATTTTTCCTCGCTACAAAGCGGGCGTTTATTTGATTTCAACCCCAAGGCATAATATAAAAGACAACACAAAAAAAAATCAAACGTTTTAATGCGAGGAATCCTAACGATTTGCCTTGATAGTAGGTTCACCTTTCCCAGAAACGAGAGCCAGGTGAAGGGAAGGGTTAACCGTAGAGCGTTTAACAAAATTGCTGGCCACCCACCCACACACACCCCAACACACACACATATGTATATGTATTGATTCGTCGAAAGGCTTTAATATTAATAGTACTTACATTTGGGGCATAGATTTACGAATTAATGAGGAATAGATACGGGTAACGAGGTCCTGGCATGGCCCATTGACTCTCCTAATGCTAGAAGCCGTGGATATTTATGACACTCGTAGAGTTTCTGCGACTAACTGCATTAGAGACTCTGACAAATAATTAAATAACTTTTGCCAGTTAAATTTTATAGATCTGTCCCCCCGCAGAAACATATCCATCCTTGTGGGGGAAGCAATCACTGTTGTATTTTTACGCCAAATCCTTTAATGTCTGCAGGTCGAATTGAATCGGGCCATTCTGAAGAACGTGGGCAAACGAGTCTACCTAAGACCGGCGGCGGCAGAGGCAATGCTATCCAGCCCGTACTCGCAGCAGCTGGAGAGGGCACTGGCAAGGAGCAACAAGCGCCAACAGAAGATGCACTGGACCAATTTCCCCAGTCCACTCCAGTGGAGCTATGCGATGCCGCAGTCCCCAGACACATCACAGTTTCAGAGTCAGAGTCAGAAATCACAAGCTCGGAAGTTATTCAACTATGCAAAAAAATCTCTAAACGGTGCTGGGGCTGGACCAGGTCTGGGCATGAGTGTGGCGGCGAAACATCCAGCTGACGGAAATGAAGTTGCAAATGAAAAATATCATGAAAATCATGGTGATAGAAATGCTGCGATGGCCAGCAAAAACGCAACCATATATGTGGCAGACACGGACGAGGTCGACGATGACAACGAGAACGAAAACGAGGAGGAGGAGAGCCGGGTGGAGCAGGCGTTTGAGGAGGACAAACCCAATTTGGAACCGCACGGAATGGCTGCAGGTGTGGACAATACAATTGAATATATTCCGTGGAACCTGCTCTACCGCTACCTACCGCAAAGAAAGCACTATAACGATATATAAGTGGCTAAAGATTGAGATGCAATTACAGACTACGGATTACGGATTACAGATACGGTATACGGTTACACATGCACCAAAACGCATATAGAAATGCATATAGAAATGTACATTGACGGTTCCTAAATGGCTGGCTACAAGGCAGGCATGTTGTGTGGTGCACATACTCCGCATCCAATCCACATCCACAATCGGCTCCACTCCACTCGAACCCTTCGATAAATCCTTTTTCAATGTTGCTAAACGTATTCAAGTTTTGTATTTTATTCGAATTGAAATTGAAATTGAATTAACTAACGATTTATACTACCTCTCTCACAGATACTGTTGAACCAAAAAGAAATCGAGAATTCCTTCTTTGATTGATTCCAAATCGAAACCAAAGCTGCAAAGTATAATTACATGTTATTAATAATACAGCAAATAAATGCATTTGTTTGAAGGCGTAATTGATAGTGATCAGCGATATGTTCCCTAAATATTCTGCCTATTTTTTTTCGTACGAAATTACACACTCCGCGGGCGGACAAATATTACTTTTTACCAGCTTATCAAGCATTTCCCCTATTGTCTTTGTGTTGCGGATGCTCAAATAATTATTAAAAATAGTACTTAATGGACTCTTTTGCACACCACACACTTTGTCTTTTGATCACTATTGAAATTACGTAGTTAACATGGTTCCAAATCATACGAATACCGATTTTAACGTAGAGGGAATACCACCCTACAATATACGATACTACTCAAGCAAGCAGCTACTATTTCGATTCATAAATAAATACAGAATACAAAATACCAGCCACCAGTGAGTAAGTTGACAAGGAATTAAATTGGTTTTCCAAACTACGATCTACGATTAATAATTATGAATTAACTTTTCATTTATATATATTGTATGTGACTGTAAATAAAAACAAGTTTTCAAACAAAGCTAAAATAGTGACAAGAAATCGAATATATTATATATTATACGAAAATATGTGCGTACCTATGTATACTTATAAAAAAAATAAATTAAAATAAAATAAAAACCATGAGGCATTGAAATGACAATTAAGTACGAAGCGATTGGTTTTTCTGGCTCCCCCAAAAAGGGACACACGGATTTTCTAGATATATATTTAATTTATTCCACGTATGGTCCCACGTGCAGTTCACGTGCTGATCTCTGTCTCTCCCTATGAGAAAACGCGTCTTTATTGTTGGCTAACAAATGGTTTTACAGGCTAATAACTGTGCTCGTGGTGTGTGTCTCTTTGGTCCTCACCCGAGGGTCCAATTAATATTGTTGTATTTGCGCTAGTCGCTAGATTACACGAAACTTGAACGCTCGCCCCAAAAAATAAGATAATTATCACATTGCCATTAGCAGCCCCACTCACGTACTCTCCCTCTGTCTCGTGGAGCAGTTGACATGACGGCAAACAAAGGCACGGACACGGGCAAAGAATGACTTTGGGCTTTGGGCTCTCTACTTGATGTCGCAGAGCAGGGCCACGCCACGCAGGGTCCAGTGCTTGGGATTGAATTCGGTCTCGAAGTCAATCGAGCCCACATACTTGAGGTCCGTTCGCTGGGGCTTTCGGTAGATGGGGCACTCGTAGAGTTTCGGATCTTTTCCAGCTGTGGTGTTTATGGCGTATATGTAAATGACGGGCATCTGCTCGTACAGGACCTTCATTTTGGACTCCATCAGCTTGCCGCTTCGCCGATCCAATGAGGCGCCTGCAAGAAAGGTGCCCAATCATTGCCGAACAGAATAGAACAGACTGGCCAAGAGTTACCCTCGAGAAACAGTCCGTGGACGTACACTCCTTCCGTTGGATACTCCGTGATGTCTTCTCGGTTATAGCGCGTTATTTGATTCTGCAGCACAACCGAGTCCAGTGCCCAGCCCTTGTGTGCTCGCGTTACTTCCTAGGAAGGATGGATACAGATGGAATTTAGAGTCCCGTGTGTTCCTCCGGCTCTACTTACCTGCCGCATAGCAGTCAGAAAGCCTTGGGGATTGAAGAACCCTGTCATCCAAAATACCTGTTTCGAGTAATTAAATAAATGTGTGCGTGGGAAGATGCTCCAACCCACTCCTCTCGGACCTGCATGGCTCTCTGCTTGCACTTACCTTCGGACGATCCGTTGATATCCATGTACGAAATTGTCCGTTGCGCTCGAGAAGCTCTGTGTACCAAAAGCCCAGCGTCGTGGACTCCCAGGATATCTGAAAGTGACAGCGACAGTGACAGGAGACAACATTATCTGGTGGCAAGATTCAAAGGGCATACGAAATCAGGGACAGGCAAACGAGTTTTTATTGGGAATGCCGAATGTAGACTAAACAAAACAGAACAGACTATTTTAATGCAGCGCTGCATCAAAGCCTTTGGTTATCTTAAAGTTCATGTGGCGGCAGAAGGCCTCCATCTCCTTGTAGGAAAGCTTCTTCGCCTCGTAGTTAAAGGACTTTTGGATGTTCGAGACGTCTATTTCAGGATGGTGCAGATCGCTCAGCTTCTGGCCCCGTGTCACGGTGAACTCGGCCTCGTCGAAGAGCTTCCTCTTCAGCTCGAAGGGCATCTCCTTGGCAGCCAGAGAATCAGTTGCATTGTATTGCAATTGCTTTTCAACAGTGTCCGACTCCGCGGACGATGTGTCCGAATCGAAGGCCGTATCACGTAGACTCTGCTTTGCTTTGTACTGGATTCTCTTCAGCTTGTTGTCCAACAGGTTGGGGTCCAGCGTGTGGGTGGAGGGAAACGGTGTGCTCGCCTTGTTGGCCTTGATGAAGCCGTATTGGCGCTGTCCGAGCGGCACATTCGTGGTCTCGTCCACATTGTGTTTGTCAAATTCGGTGGTCTTAGACAGGAAAATATTCCGATTATCGTTCGTGCCACTCGTTATGATTTTCTTCATTGTTTTTGCCGGATTACTCGTATTTGCAAAAGGCATATCGAAATATTATAACGAGTTCCGAACTGAACTCTATTTTCTATTTGGTGTAAAATTCAACAATAATGCTTTCGGCAATGCTTACTGGATCTAGTATAATTTCTGTTTGAATCGAGAACCAACACCTGCCCTTTTAGGACTTTGTTTAATTTCCCTTTCCCCTTTAAGTGGCCTGTTGTTTGTCTGCTCTGGCGGTCTATGGGTCTATTGAGAGGCGTCAAACGTTTATACGCATAATTTCGAATGAACGTTACCCACCGCCCACGGCCCAAAGGGAAGGTGAAGGGCAGTCCCTTATCATTTCCACCCACCAGACAGACAGACAGACAGACAGACACCTGGGTACAAAACGAGTGATAGCAATAGGCTATCTCTAGATCCTCCAAAGTCCTCCTGCTTCAGGAATACACACCTTCATCCAGGTCTCTGGTATGCGGGCATCGTACATAGCATCCAGGGACTCCTTTAGGGCGGGACTCATCACAATGGTACCGTCAATGGCCAGCTTCAGATCGCAGAGGCAGGTGTGCACGCGCTTAATAACCCTCTGCATTCGATCGATTTCTTGTCTGCAATCAAATATATGTATGTCGGTGAGTAACCAACCTACAATTAAATGTGTACTTTACCTTAAAAATATGTTCATCGGCAACAAGATGCCCATTCGATTGAGATTCTCACGCACATCGTAGGCATTGTATTGGGCGGGGAGCTTGCGTAGCATGTCATCTGCCAGTTGGTAGACAATGCTCTCCCTTGTTTCGCCCCCGCCGCCGCCACCCTCCTTCGGCTGTACGCTCAGTATTGTGTCCAGGATGCCTGCGAACCAGAAGCAAAAGCAGAAACCGAACAATCAAGGACTTGGGAGTACGCTATCAGGGGATATGCTAATGTGCCAATGGCCGAGTGGGTTTGCCAGCCGATTTGATTTCATTCACGTTCATTGCTGCTAAATCACACATTTTTGGGTTCTATTGATTGGGGGCGAGGGTCCTGGGGAATTGTTTATGCAATGGCTCTTTACACAAAATTAAGCAGAATGGCATTACGCCCCGTCGATGCAGTACTCAAACCACGCGATTCCGGCCATTGATTTCCCGGTTACAGATCATTCATCGTGGCTCACGGCGGATTATGTGCACGTGTTTATGTTACATTTCGCTCTGTTTTAATTATGAAGCAACACAACAAATACAGTGCTCATACCTTTCGCTGAATTTATCTGATACGTGATGTCGGCGTTCGAATGCAAGCCAAACACCTCTGGGGTATCGTACGCCGGCAAGCTGTTTATGTAATCGATAAAGCCCTGAAGGCTCTTCGTGCCCGGCACCTTGTAGCCCTTGTAGAACTCGAAGGAGTTCGACAGCAGTTGCTCGCAGAACCAGACCGCGGTGAAGGTCGTGAGCAGGCGCTTGTCAAAGTCATCGGTCACCCGGCCCCCGTACTGGACTTCTCCAATCATGTAGACCAGGGTCTGCCAGGAGACACCTTTCTTGGGATCCATTTCGTCCAGGTGGTTCTGGACAAACTGCACGCTGGCCGCGAAGTCGGCCTGATTGAATTCGTAGGGTACATTCCAGCCGAGAGGGCCGAACTTTCGTCGCTCCTGGACGATGGTGTGCAGAAAGGCCACCGTGTACAGCAGCGGGGGCCACTGCGAGGCTGAGGTGTAATCAAGGAAGTCCTGGGTGAACGACTGGCTCCCGCAAAAAGATTGAAAATTAATAATTAATTGAGCTTCGGGAATTTACACTGCTTTGGCGCACCTGGTAGCTGCGCTTTAGACTGGCCCGTATCCCCTGGGGTGGTTCGTTTGTGAACTTGAGAGCCATTTGCAGCAATCCAATCGGAAACTCGGTGTGCGGCTCAGTGGTGACCCACATGCGGAAGGACTCGTCGATATGCTCCGACTCCACCAGCATGTCGATAATCTCGGTGCAAAAGGGCAGCGACAGATGCACGTTTTGGAGCAGAACCCAGCCGCCGGTGGACATCGATTCCATTATCATTTTGCGGGCATGGTACTCCTGTCCCTGTCCCATCGATACAGATTTTAGGCCTACTCGCGAATAGAGTTGGTTAGAGTCGAAATTTGGAGCTGTTTGTCAGACACTTGCCTATGCTCTTCTGCTTGGCCAAGGCCCCAATTTGGGTGGTGGGATCGGATCCTATGGAGAGAAGACACACAAAGGGCGTGCGTGGCTCCGACTCCAGCCACATTTCCTCCAAATCCAGAATCTGCATCTCACTGTACTCGCCTCCCAAAGATTCTATAAAAAACAAACAGAAAGTTAAGGAACAGATACTCATCCTACTTTCTACTATAAACACACCTTCTATATACTTCTTGGCCTGAGATATGGTCCGATCGGGGCACCAGGAGCGAATGAGTAGCAGTTTTCGAAAGCTGTCCAGAAGGGCATTGTAGCCACAGGGGATTTCCTCGTACTCGGGCTTCTCGCACTCGTACCACGTGCGCCAGTCACGCTCGTTCAGTTCAATCACCTGCAGAACTGTGGAAAAGGTCTCCAGCTTGCTGATCTCCACCAGATTGAGCCAGGTGATGTCCAGGATCCAGCGGAAGGGCTTTGGGGTGACAGCGTTCAGATCCAGTGAGGCCCCGCCCTTGATGAACGTCAAGAACTCCTCGTGACTGATGTTCTCGTTGTGATAGTCGATCTTGATGGCCAGCATCAGGGTAAACAGTTGCTTGTGCCGCTCATAGAGGCTGCGGTTCGTGAACTTGTACACCTCGTAGGTGAGATATCGCAGGATAATGTTGATGCGCTCCTCCGTGACACTGGACTTTGTCGACTTGGTTATCGAGTGGTTGAAGATGACGAGGAATTGCTTGAGGGAGTTCTGGTACATGGCGTTCACGTTGCTCATTTCGACAATCAGAAAGTAGAGGATTGATCCTCGCTTCGCCACCGCCCGAAACTCCTCGCGTGCCTTCATTATTTTGCGCTCCGTCACCTCGGAAATCTTTAGTTTTTGGTTGACTTCCTCGGCTGTGGTCTTGGTCACCCGCAGTACTTCGATTAAGGCCTCGTCGTCCACCAGAGATCCTTGGGAGGAGCTCAGGCGCAGCAGGAGGTTCGCCTCCAGCTCCTTCATGTTGCGCTGGTTCTGCATGACGGTCTCGAAGAGCGCCACTCGCTCCGCTTCGAGATCCGACTTTTCCATTAGGATGACCCGACCCAGGAGTTGATCCTCCAGACCACGCATAGTGACCGTGAAATCAATGATCGAGGTCTTGGCACTGACCTCAGGACTGAAGGCGGGATTCGGTAGCTTTGTGGTAATGTAGAGCATGAACCCGGGCATTACGTCGCACTCCTTGTCGCCGACAAGCACCTTCTCAATGCTGCCCGACTTGATGAAGTTCTTCTCCAGGACATTGTCTATAACCGGGTCCAGATCGATGCCCACGTCCTCGATCAGCAGCGGCCTGCCCAGCGAGAGCGAGTCCTCGAGGTGGGTGCGAAAGTACTTGTGATTCAGGGAGGTGATCTGCAGCTCATTGCGATCCTCCTTGCACTTGATCCAGATCTTCCCCTGCGTCTGCGGATCGACCAGCAACGGATAGCTGCTGGACTTGGTGGCTATCAGGGCGTTCTGCACGGACAGCTCGTCGTTCGGCAGCCCCTGGAGTGTCCATTCCGACACCGTCGAAGAATCGACCAGCATGTTTATGATGTTCAGTCCAATGGTGAAGGGAATATTCTTCTGCTTCAGTATGCCCATCCAGGTCTTGATGAGGTTGGCCCGAAACTCCTGGTTGTAGGGCCCGCAGTAGGAGAGAAAGCCGGTGGCCAGGAGCACATCGCCCACCAGTTTTCCCAGCTGAATCTTGAACTCCTTGCTCTGGTTGGTCCAGCGATGCTTCTCGTCCGAAAGCCCATTGATCAGGGCCGTGGCTGCGGTCATTTTCCGCAGGCAGACATTGGCCGCGTCCATCAGTCGTTGCTTCTCCCCCACGGCCTTGTCGTACTGATCCTTTACCGCCTGCAGGGCATCCTCACGCTCTCGAAGCTGTTCCTCGGCCCCGGCCAAATCGTCCATTGCAAGCTAAGAACAGAAGGGAAGGGAATGCCATATGAGTGCAGGGACATGCCGAATCCTTTGCCCAGCTTACCTTTAGGCGCGCCTCTTGCATGGTTAGATTGGCTTTCAGGGGCAGTACCTCTTTGTTCACGCTGTGGAAGAAGGACATGGCCTTGGTCCAGGAGAGCAGACCGGCGACATCACCGCACACACGTCGAGCCATGTCCATGTTGTAGTCCTCCATGCGAAAGTACGGCTGCAGCAGGTCGATCATCTCGTCGTTGATGGTGTCCTTCGGGTAGTTTTGCAGTTGCAGCAAAAATGTGGCACTGGCCATCATCTGCGTGGAAAGGGAAAGGGGAATGGGAAGAGGAAAGCTGTGGGACAAAGGGGGCACCCACCTTGAGTGACTCTTGCCACGAGGGCTTGGGGCACGGTGTACCCGAGTCGGGTATGCACGGGTGCAGCTTACGCTTGAACAGGATTAAGACGCAGTCCATTATCCGCATAATGAGGTGGGGGGGTCGTCCCAGCTTACGCACGGTGGCTATGTGCGCCGGCTTGATCGTGTTGAGGGCGTTCTCGGCCTCCTCGAGGGCCGGCTTGGCCGCCTCGAGCTTCTCCTCGGCCAGGGCCTTCTCGTGGGCAATGCAGGCAACGAGGGCCTCTGCCTTATCCTTGACGATGAGGACCTGATTCTTGACAATCTCCGCTTGCATCGCACGCTCCGTCACCTCCACCAGCACCGATTCAGCGTTCTTGGAGGCTTCGACCAGCTCCTCCTCCATGACCACGAGGTCTTTCTTGAGGATCTCAACCGAGGCGGAGGCCTCTTTCAGTTTCTCCAAGCCCGTATCCATCTTCTCCACACCATCGCGCAGCTCTTGCTGCTTCATCTGATAGATATTCTTGTAGCCGGCAATGAAGTTCAGATAAGATTTGGGTGTCACGTGCGTGGCGCGACGGAAACGCTGGAAGTACTCCTGTGACGTTTCGGCGACAATGTCCTGTATGGAGCCGAGCGCATTAACCAGCTCTTCCTTGACGGCCGACGTACACTCAATTTCGAAGTGGCTCAGAAAGTGTCTGGCAACCGAAACCAGGGCGTCCTTGGGCCACGGATGCAGCCAGTCAATGGTGCAGCCGGAGACCAAGGCGGGAAAGCGCTGCACCCGCGACCGAAAAGTCTCACCCACGGGCGAGAAACAGAAGGCCACGTGCAGATTGGTGCAGGTGCGCGCCAGAAAAAAGTCCATCACACTTTCCGGGGTCGCTGTTTTGCGTTGATTTTCGCGTTTCATGACCGGCGTCAGCTCTTGCACGATTTCGGCCTGCTCATCGCGCGAGAATAGATTCGATATGACACCGCTCGAGAGTATGTTATTGAGATACTCGAGGAAACCTTCCTCTTTGATATCCATGTCAGTGAAGAGAAAGGTTGTGCCCTTCCCCTGCACGCCGCAGGTGCGGTAGAGCAGCTTTAGATCCTCTAGAAAATTGGCCACATTGTACGAACGCGTCAACGCAATTTGGAAGGTCTTGTAGCCAGCTATAAACGATGCCAATTTCGTAAGCGACTGCTTTCCAGAACCGCCGACCCCGACAAGCATGACCGATCCTCTCGGATGCCGAATGATGCGGGAGATCTTCACCAGATGCAGCATTGCATCCGGGAAGAACACCAAATCCATTCCAGATCCTCGCACCATTTCATTGAACTGGGCGAGGAACATAACGAGACGCTCGCGTAGCACTTCATGAGAGTGTACCGGCTCGTACACTTTCGGCAGCTCCATGTCGGTGTCCTCGCCCTCCTCGCCGGTCGGCTCGGGGGCGTCGCGCATAAAATCGACGAATACCGGATTGGGTATGATCATTTGGGAATGGGCATCGCCCAACTCCTCTCGCACGAGACATGCCAGCTCTGAGCCGAACCACTCCCTATCCTGGAACGTGGTGAATCGGTCGGCAAATACTCGCGTGCACTCATGCTTCCACAGCGCCATGAGCACGCTCTCGGAGGTGATCACTGTGGATAAGGTGCCAACCATGCCCTGCCAGATGCGCGACAGGTCGCGCAGACTGAACACGTAGTGGAACTTCGCTGGCGTGGGCAGCAGCTTCTCGCGTGTGCGCTGCCACAGGTGCCGCGTGACCACGATCAGTTTCTTCACTAAATTGCGAATCTCGGGCACAAAGCCGCGCTTGGCATTGTAGTGGCCCTCACCGATAACGCGGAAGATCTTATCAATGGAGTCGTTGTCGGGTATGTTGCAGTTGAAGACGCAGAACTGACGCTTGAGACGCGACGGTATGTCGTTGCGACCGCCGCCGGGCAGCCCCATGGCCGCCACATACTGTACATCCACAATGGTGGTAAAGTCGCCGGGCTTCTCCAGGCTGTAGAAGCCCTTCATGTCCATGGACTGGCGCACAATTTCATTGGTCACCTGATCGCCCCACTCATTGATCTCGGGCAGATTGATGTCGTCTATGAAGACGATCAGCTTGCGGCCACCAGGGGGCCCAAAGGTGACGCCCACACGCTTCTCCACATAGCTCTCGATGGTGCGCTGGAACTGGTAGGGGCTGGTGGCCGACGAGAAGTTGAAGGATCGCCCCATGTACGTCTCAATGTTCATCTTCTTCATGAAGTTCTTCATGATCACTGTCTTCCCGGTACCCTGTTCGCCGATGACCATCACGGCGCGCTCCTGATTGGCAATGGTTCCGATTAGATAGTCGATACGCACATTATCCACAATGGGCACCAAAATACTCAAGTAGTCTGGTGTGGAAAGCTCCGGATACATGTAGGGTGTGACGAGCGTCTTCCACGACTGCCACACGCCCGTTGGAGAAACGAAATGGTCGAATATGGTGTTCTCGCTAGCACTACCCTTCGGATAGTCGAGGTGCGGAAAGGATTCCTTCACAAAGATATTCATTCGAACGCGATCGGTTGTTGAGAGGTAACCCCCCAGGCCCCAGGCCAGAGCGAATATATACAAGCGGTGCAAGTGTTCCGGTGTACAGGTGTCCTCTTTCTCCTCGACAACGCTCTCAATGGGCAGATCCTCTGTAGGGGTATGGGGTTAAAGTATGGTGTAGAATCAACAGGATAGGTAGCAGTACTTGTACACACACATTTGTTAGTAATTGGTAGTAAATGATAAGGTTTAGACGAGACGTTAACAACAAGACTATAAACAGAACACACAGAATTACACACACAATGGAGGGAGGTGCCAATCGACTGAGAACCAAACCAAACGGAGAACCAAGTCCTCCTTTGATAGGATCTCAATCTCAATAGGATGTTAATGACAATACACACACACAGAAGCAGATCTATATCTATAGAAGATACATGTAGATGTGTTTAAATATGGAAACCCCTTGTGGGAGGGGTTGGTATACTTTACCGACAATCTGACTGCCAATCGATTGCCGTCGCGCCTCTTCGATTTGTTTTTGTTGCTCTATTCGCTTATTCGCTGAAAAGTTTCAATTCAATTTTGTATGTGTGGTTTTTGTTTTTGTTTTTGGTTGGGTGTCGGCTGTTTGGGGGCGACTTTCTTCTATCCTTCTTCCACTTACCATCATGGCTCTCCTTGCTCGAGAGGCTCACAGCCTGTTCGTCCTCCTTCTTGACGGGTATCAAGCCCTCCAGAATGAACAGCATCTGCTGCACTATGTTGCACTGCAGGACTGGCATCTGAAGCTTCACCATTTGTGCCCCCCAGTTGTGTACCTCGACAAATGTCTCATCGAACAGATCGGAAAACGTGGACTTTTCGCCAGGCGCGCGATTCTTTAGCCAGGCCTGAACAACTGTGAAGGATTTTGGCATTGTTTCATCGTTATTTCATCTCAAAAAAGGATCGAAACACCTACTCGGTCGTGCATCCAGGCCAGAAGAGCTCATGTAAACCATGCCGTTGCGTGAAACAGTAGCGGGTGAGGCATTGTCGATGTTGTGCGGCTCGAAGATAATCTTAACGGTTGGCGCCATCGTTAGGCGATCGCCATTGGCCAGAGTCAAGGTTTTGTTGTCATCCAGCACGGAGTTGAGGTTCTCTATCCAAATACTGTCCACTGGACCATCGAGCACCAGCCACACATTTTCGCCTGCCTTCAGCTTGAGGGTCTTGCGCCACAGGGCCGAGAAGATGCCATCGGTCCAGTCATTGGTGGCCACATCGAGGCGTCCAAACATTTGGGCTGCTGTGATCGCCTTGGGGTTCATCCGCATCTCGCGATGGTTTTCCCCCATTTGGGTCATGGCCTTCATTAGGGTGTGGATGCAGGTGGTTTTGCCCGCTCCACTCGGGCCCAGGGTCATGATGCCATGGCGTACGTTCTGTGTCTCGTACAACTGTATAAGCTTCAGGACCCAGGGCGGATGATAGATCAGACTGGCCTCGTCTGTTTGCTGGAGAATGGCAGCCTCCAACTCCGGATAGTTGGTATTCTCGAGAGTCTATTCAAAGAACGAGAGAGAGAGAGAGCGAGAGAAGGGGGTTAAATGAAGGAATGCATGGGAATGTCTCCTACCTGATTGGGAAACAAGTCGGACACCAACGAGAGGAACAGCGGCTCATCATCATCAATCAGCTTGGAGAGATTCATGTCGCGGAGGACGCGCATCACAATGGTGCTCTCAGTGTCCTTTGAGTTCCTCCGCTTGGCTGCCCCGAGCGTACGCAGCACGGAGAGTATGTTCCTCAGACCGAAGTCGTAGTGGACCTGCTTCGTCAGCTGCTCCTCGCACAGCTTGTACAGTGTGTAGAACTTCCGGGCCAGCGTTATGTTCTCCAGGAAACCGCAGCTGGCCAGCTTCACGCGGATGATTATCTGTCTGTCCGGCACCATCATCGCCACGGTCCGGAACTGTATTTTCAGATTCTCGGGCAACTCTTTGCGACCCGCGTACCCGGGATTCTGTTTAAACATTTAATTCTCATTTAATCGGCCATAGGTACTAATCGATTGCTTTTAAATCTAGTACATAGTTTATTTAACTTATTGCCGGGACAGGTCGATATTTATGTTTATCCTGGGCACTCCCTGCACACCATAAACAAGCGGAAACATAGCCCCAACAAAGGATTTCATCATTAAACTCAAACGCACACACAACTGTCTGTCTATTTGTGTCTGTAGGTCTGCGAAAAAGGGGACTGGAGGCCTGGAGGCCTGGAGGACTGGAGGCCTGGAGGACTGGAGGACTGGAGGCCTGGACGCCTGGAGGAGTGGAGGCCTGGAGGCCTGGAGGACTGGAGGCCTGGGTGACATAACGACTCATTAAATTATAATGTCCTGCCGCCTAAAAATGTTATATAAATGGGCCTAATAATTCAATGCGCAAATTAAAATACATATAGACACCGAGGCTAAAGCCGAAGCCTTCGAAAGGGTTAGAGGCAGACCATGAGAAGGGTAGCAAGGGGGGAGGGAGGGACCGGTTTGGTGTAGACAACAAGTGGGCGTTGATTGACATACTGTAGCATTATTGGCGACGTCGCCGGGGCTAACGCTAATCGCATTACCCCCGATCATAGTTGGCGTCGCTTTTAATTAAGCTACAGAGCCCCGTACTATATCTATAGTTTGCTTTGCCTTGCTACTACTCTCTATACTTGGGACCAGCCTTGGCTGGCTTTCCTTCGCTTGGCTTCCTATTTGGCCTGAAAGTATTTAATTCTGATTGTGCGTAGAGAGGCGTTGAGATTGCTGAGCAGAGGAGAGACGGTTATTCGGGACAGGGCCCCTCGTGGCATGTGGCAGGCAAATTAATCGAGTCATGCAGCCGCTTAAATGTAAATACACGGGACTCGGCTCCTCCTTTGGTGGTGCTCTTCTTGTTATTTGTTTTCCCTTTTGTGTGCTGGTTATTGGTTTTTACGGTTTTTGGGGGGGGAGGGGCGGTGGATGCTTTTTGGGCATGGCGTGGCATACGCGAAAAAGCCATAGTAAATTGTATTACAGCTTCAGTTGAGTTGAGAAAAATTGTACATGACTAATATCGTTGGAATTATGTGCAAAAAGGCGCCTGTCACTCTCCATTTTGCAACAAGTTAAATGGGAAAGCATTCGATTAAAGCAATTTAATTTTCTACTAAATACTCGTACACAGGAAAATCATCTTCCCAATGAACATAATGATGGATAGTTTTGTGTTGTGTTTTGTAAATACTCAAATTTCGATGAAGGTAACAGTGGAGTAGAGGAGTGCGATGTGCGCGTATCTAAACATTAATAAAGACTTAGCACGGAAGAGGCTCACAGGTGTCTGTCTGTTATTTATTGTAACCGGTACTCGTGGAGTAATTGTATTCGTATGCATGTACTAGATAGTATGTACAGGCCAAGGACAACGGTTAATCTTGCTAAGGATTACCAGCCGTGTCCGTTTGAATTTATTCCAAAAGAGCCTTCCTGCTTAGCCTTTACTTTCAATGTCTTTAAGTGAATATACTGGAGTGAATGCTAAGTGTATTTGTGCAGCAGGTATTACCAGGTATTACCATAGTTATGAATATTCCAAATTCTGGATTCATTTCAATCGTATCTCCATCTGTGAACAGGAAAGTTTTCTTCTTCTCCTTCTTGGCCGTCAGCACGACGGCCACTTGTTGAGCGGCCACTGAAAGAACCGGCAGCTCGATGCGGTTGAACTCATCGAAGCAGCCCCAGCTTCCAGACTGGGCCAGACCCTTATATATGCGTCCCAGCCCTCTAACCAAACCAAGTAAACTTTGAGTAAACCTTGAACAGGATGAACTGAACTTACCTGTAATCCATTTGATCGGAGCAATTAAAGACGACAACATACTTGGCCAACGTTTTGCCCATATCCTTGACGGTTTCCGTTTTTCCAGTGCCAGCCGGCCCGCATGGCGCTCCCCCCATGGACAGGGTAAGAGCCTGGGCCAAAGTGATATAGCAACTGAAATGGAATATCAATTTAGAGGGTACAACGAGAAACTTTTTCTCAACCACATGATAAAGACAAGACCCAGCCAAGAGACGCTCTTTAAAATATCAAAGCAGTCCCGCAGTACAGCCACTAATTTGCGATGACATCGAAAGAGCAGAGACGAAACTCGGGCGAATGAAAATGAGTGGAAAGGAGAAGTGCCTTCAGGAAAATAGCACCGCCACTTTACAGCTTTCCGGAGGCAACTGGCTGCCGCTGTCAAAACTTTATTTATATTCCGCTAAGTGAAGTTTATCTTTACGAGCATGTCAACGGCGCGTCGGTTGTAGAAATTCCTTTTGGTCTCGCTCTCCCTTTGAGTTTCGTTGAAGAAGATTTCCTGCAGGTTCCAGCCATCGACCGCTTTAAACTGCTGCCAACAGTTGTTTTTTTTGCCAATTGTTTACATAGAAAAAACTGACGAGAGTAGAGTTCAAAGTGCTACGGCAGGCACGGCATTCCAAGGTGTGTTCCATCGGGACGAAGGAATTCGCCAAGAATTCGTGCAATTGAAAACAAATTTATGTTATATTTATTAGTGGAAATTCTTGTCAGTCCAACGCGAAATAAATGATTTTATTTCCACTTAAGAACCATCGAATGGAGACCTGGCTATCGCGGAACTGTTTATCCTCCCCCGCAGTTTGAGTTTGGGCAAAATATTACAAGTACTCACCGATCTGTCAATGGTGTGATAACCAGTCGATCTGTGCAGCCAAGATATTCGTTCTGGTAGGTAAATGTGACATCGGTAACCGATATCCAGGTCTTGTCCAGATCCTCTTTGAAGTAGAAGCGGCATTGCTTGAGCCACTCGAAGTCGTTTGCTGATTTGATGTTCATGCGGCACTGGAATTGTTACGAATATTATTACAACATATACGAGCATAGGAGAGATACATATGTAGTCCTTAACAATAGTATTCTGTGTAATCTAAATGACCCACCAAAATATCGAAGATATCGCGCTGATGCACATGAATGGTGATCAGGGTCTCGAAGTTTGTGCGCTCGCGCTTTGTCAGATTGCGAGTGGTTTGGTCGATGAGTGTGTTGAGGATCTCGAGGAACTTGTTATTTGTCTCGGACATGACCTTCCTCTCATGTCTGGCCTGCATCAGAGCCATTTCTGCATCTCGCGTCCAAACCATTTGAATGCCGAGCAGGCCAATCTGGGCCGGCGCCTTCTCGAGGAAGCTGAGGAGGGTGAAGTTTGGATCGTTAATGGTCGCATAGGCGGTGCGAATGATCGAGTGCAGTGACTGCTGTGCTGTGACCAGCAATTGAGTTAGCCATGTCTCGACAGAGCCCTCCGCACGGATGGCGCGATCCAGCTGGATCATCTCGCCCTCGCTGCTTATGATGGCCATCATTTTGTTGTACTCGACGTCGTGGAACTTCACCGACTTTGTGTTGTCGAAAATATTCAGGAGGTGGTTTTGTATGGTATGCGAATCGGAAGCCTGACCCAGTATCTCAAGCAGTGCAGGATCTGACACAAAGAAGAAACGTGGAAACATCATGCGCTTGCGCTCTAGATAACCACTCAAGGATTTCTGACAAATCTCCAGTTGCTCCTGCAGATGAGGCAGCAACTGTTTAAGCAAATCATCACCGACGCAGCAAGCCACAACGCCGGGTGTCTCGTGGGCTCGCTGCATGATTTTTTGCCAGGATTTGTCTATTTTCGAAAACCTTTTCGCCTCCTTCGGCAGTTGCTTCGCAATATCGCCCCCAACAAACACTGCCTCCAGATAGACCCACATGTTCTGCACCAAGAGCCACCGCTCCAGTATCTCATTCGAGTTGGAGAGGTCATAGACCCACTGCTGTATCTGCTTCCGAAACGGAGCGTTGTATCGGTTGGATAGGAGGGATCCCAGCACCATCAGGCTGTCCTCCAATTGGCCAATCGTTTCGGCCGTAGTGTCGCCGCGCAGCAGGAGTTCGCCGCGATTGTTGAAGCTCATGAATTGCAGCTCGTGCACGGACCACTCATTGGTCACCTGCTTCAGCTTGGCTTCGATGTCCTTCTCCTTCATGGCACTGATGCAAATGTCCTCGATGTCCTCCTTGTGCTTGAGCAGCGGCGCCTCCAATATGTTCTTGAGCGAGAAACCCTCCGAGTCGAACTCGAAGATGTAGCGAGTAACGTCCATGATCCGTTGCCAGTGGCGTGGCTTCATGGCTTTATTCGCCATCAACTCCAGTAGGGGGCACATATCGTTAAAGTCATCGATTGTCTTCTTCAGAGCATGGAAAGCGGGCCACTCCTTCAGTCCCTTCGGCAGCTTCCGGCAGCGGTTTTGGAACTCCATCAACTCGTTGTTGATCTCCTCAATGTCCACCTCATTCCAGGGTATGTCGTAGTAGCTGCTCACTCTGTCAATCACATCGTTATACAGTTTGTACAGTTTCTGCAGCAGGTTCAGTTCCTTGCGTATCTGCCCCAGCTCTGGATAGTCCGTTTGCGGCAGACCGAAGAGTTCCTCGCCACTCTGGTACGTCTGCAGGCGTCGCCACATGCCTTCGAAGCGGTTCTGGAACAGTATCAGCCGGTCGGAGGCCTCTCTCGGCGTCAGCCCCGCCTGCATAGGACCCGCCGTCCGATACTCCGTCACGTACGAGATCTTGTCCTGCTTGAAGTTGTCCAAATTGGTGCGCAAGTCATCCTGGAAGGCCGGCTGCATGTCCAGCAGCTTCACCTGTGCCTGCAGTGCCCCAGCCAACAAGTTCTGGAATGTGGCCCGCAAATTGTCCACCAGGTCGAACTGGTCACGCTCCACTTGCACCTCATAGCGCGTCAGGACATTGAATGCTTCCTGCAGGACAAGACGAGTGAGTAGATGGCATCTTGGGTGCTGCCTGTGCTACTGCCTCACCTCTATCGGATCTATTCGAAGTTCCATGTCCACCTCCTGCTCACGAATCTTACCCAAAGTCTCCATTATCATGCGCACATCATCCAAGTCACGTATAGGCCTGTCCAGCTTACGATCCATTTCATTGATTACGGCATAAACATAGTCCATTTCCTTCTTGTACTTCTTCTTCATAGCCTGTCCAATTTTGTGGTTGCAGGCTGAAAATAGAAACCGTCTAAAGTGTTCGTTCGTTCTCCCTTTCCCTTTCCCTTTGCCCCTTCCCTCCCATCCCCCACCTCCCTTTCTGCCCATCTCCCTATTCCATTTCGTGCGCCACACAATGATATCGATGTCATTAATCAAAGCCAGGCCAAGGGCTAATTTATTTTCACACAGTCACATCCTCCAGCTGTGTGGGGTCTCTCGGCTCTCGGCTCTTGGCTCCTTCCTTCCAATCATTTTGTGTGGGGAATTTATTTTCGTATTTCTGGGGATGTCTTGTGTTTCAGTTAATTTGGTTAAACAAATTAGATTATCTAATTGGACGCCAATTTATTTGAATAGCTTCCTATTTGTCCACAAAACAAAAGAATTCGCGAGGGTGCCAAAATTTATGGTTGATTAACGTTTCGTGTATCTAAAAATGGAAACAGCATATCCTTCTAGTCTATAATTAGAATAAAATACATTCCATAAGCACCCCATAGCCCCCCTTCTTTAGATGAAATAAAGGAGAAGCATAAGTTATAGTTCTAAAGATGCATCGGACTGCTACTTACATTTGATTTCAATGGCCAAACCATACTTGAGCCTTTCATTATACACTGCCACGCACTGTCCAAAGACCTCCATGTCTGGCTCAATCAGCAGATTGGCATCCAGATCGGATAGACAGCGCAGGGTGGTCTCGAACTCCTGCAGGCCAAACTCCATGAGCTGACGAGTGGTGCGATCGTTCTTCCACAGGAAGTGGTAGGGCTTCCAGCGCTTGATGTACGTTTGAATCTCTGGCTTTACGTTCTTCGTGCAGCTGGAGAGCTGGTTGACAGCCTTGGCCACCTCTTTGTTATCCATGATGGCCGAGTAGAAGCTTTTCAGCATGTGCGGCATCTGTGGTCGTTCCTCGGAGGCCAGACAATAGATTTTGCGACGTCGACTCTTTCCGCCGGCGCCGCCAGAGGCCTCGTTGTGGTTGCGTCCGACGCGCGGCTGCGTCACCGTCATCGAAACTTGCTGCGGTTGGTAAGACAAGATTTTGGAGAACATTGCGAAGCTATTCAGTGGGGCGGTACGCACCGGCGGATCTTTGCCGCTGCTCCACTGAGCCACACCCTTCGCAATGCCCGTGATGTTCTTGCCAGCCGTCACCAAAATGTCCTGCAGCTCGTCCAGACTCGGTTTGATAACCACATGGGGTATCTGCAGCTGCGCGTGCAGCGCAAATATCGGCTTTTTGAAAACCGTCTCATTCTCATCGGCAATGAATCGACGTCTCAGTGTATCCAGTGCGGCTCGAATGACCTTTATCAGTACGTCAATGACCTTGCGGCTGTAATAGCGACGCATCTCGACCACCGCATTGCACACCATATCCTACAAAAAAACAGAATGGATCATTTTTTGACTTCTGTCCATCTTTTACACGTCCCACCTGCATGCCCTTGGGCAGGCTTTCTGTGGTCGACAGCAGCGACAGGGGATTCTCAAAGCAAGACCACAAGATACTCCAGTCCTGCTGCTGCCCTCCGCCACCGCCGCCGCCTCCACCACCGCCTCCACTTGTGGTGCCAGCAGCAGCTGCTCCTGCACTGTCTTCAGCTTTTCGTCCGCCTGATCCAGTGGCCTCTCCTTTTGGAGAGACTGCTGCTCAAAAGTTTCCAATTCATAATGTTTATATATTGCAGTCGCAGGTCTTACCATCGAAGAGGGTCGTCACATCATCCCCTGCTATCTCCTTGAATGTGGCCGTTGCCTTGTCCACCAAACTTAGAACCTCTTCCACCGCCTCGGAGACCATTTGACTTTTACGATTCAGTTCGATGGCCGCTTTCCTGGGGGAGGACAATCACGTCATTAGTATTTCACATGCAATTTATAGACAATATTAAAATGTGATAAAGAACCCATTAGAATAAATCACCAGCAGAAACAGAATAACCTTCAGACAGTGGAAAAGTCGCGCAAACCTTGAACATTCATTTTAGCAACCCAAATTAAAAGTGAATTCTCCCCCGAACCCCCGAAACATGTCAGAATCAGAGACTCACCGGCAGGCCTCCTCGCTGCGCTCCAGAAACTCATCAACTGTCCAGATCTCATCGTCTGCTCAAGAAACAAATGGGAAAAGTTTTCAGGCAGCATACAATTAGACGCGAGTCCTGAGAGATGCTCGCATGTGGGAGCCACCAACCTGCTGGTAATATTTGCAACGAGACGTCCTGCATCCACATGAGCACATGGAGTATGCGATTGGAATAGATGTCATGAACACGGGCCACGAGAACCTCAAAGTTCTCGATGGCCTGCTTGCAGCGCTCATAGAATTCAGTCCAGTTTTGGTTGGTCCACTGGAAATTAAGAAAACACAATAAGAATTCAGAGGAGATCTGCAGCTGACGGACTCACATTTATGGTATGTAGTCCTGGCTTCAGCATCGCCGTCAAACGCACCAATTGAGGCAGAAACAAAGGACGCACCTCCAGCTTCACAGCCCGGACCGTTGAAAGAAACATTTTGATGAGACACTACGGGGCAAACACACAGTTCTTAATGATATACGATTTTCGAGTGGCACAATGGCAGAATAACACACATTTAACGAGTCCTGTATGGTGATGAAATACTGCTGGCGACTCATCAGAGTGGCGGCCACAATCGGCAGCTCGATCTTTAGCTTGGCCAGCATTTTGGCTTCTCTGATCAGCAATGGTATTGTGGGGTGTAGATTGACAAACAATTTGTCCCCCTGCAGGCAAAGTAGTGGCTGCAGGAGGCAGGCATCGGCAACGCTGACGTCTTGATCCAGCCATATGGATACAATTTCGTCCTCGTACTCCTGGAGCACTCCCAAGACGTTGTGGAATCGCATGTCCAAGTCCTTAGCCATGGGCAGGGTACTCAGCACCGCATGATCCATCACCGCATCTATGAGCTCTGTTAGATGAAGACTCAATGCCCGACACCAATGGATGCGTCCGGCAATGGGCGGGAAGTTTCTCGCCAGCGGGGGATCGTCTCGTTGCTTGCGAAATGTTTTCAGTATGCGATCCACCTCCTTGTCAACGTAACGCAATATCCGTGTGTATTTCTCATCCATCTTGGTCAGGGGAATTTTCTCGCTAACTTTTTCGAAACGCACTAAAAACCGTATGCACTGCGGCGTCTCCCAGACCGTGTCAAAGTCCTTTTCAATCAGCGTGGCTATGGTATCCTTTAGGGAGTTGGTTTTGTTTATAAACCTCTCAAAATCGTCATTGAAGTTGGAGTTTCGATGATCTAGGTAGTCATATTTCTTCGAAATAACCTCCTTTTTGGCCTCTTCGAAATGATTAGAGGCATCCTCCAAGGCCTCCCCCAGCAGAAGGCCCTCCAGGCGACGCTCGAACAAATGGTTGTAGTCATCGATCAGGTTGAACATGTTTATAATTTTCGAAAGGCGCTCGCAGAATGTATCGAATTTTCCTGAAATTATCAAGCCTTACTATAGATCATATAGAATCGTTTAGATTCGTATCGTTACCAAAGACAAAGTTCTCGGAGAACCCAAATGGTGTCTGATTGGGCAGAAACGGCTGCTCGCGCACCGTGTAGTACGTCTCGTGGTAAATGTGGTTCAGTTTAATGCAGTTGCTGAGTTTTGTTCGAATTAAGCTGCGATCCTGGGACCAAATAGTCTCCTTGCAACGACAAGTAATGTAGGACTTGCAGGTCTCGATCATTTGGTTTGTTATCTAGAAGGAGAATTAATTGTTTAATAGATATTTACTATATACCTCAAAGCAGAACAAAAGTTAAGGGTAAAATGAAATTAAATTCTCTATCGTACACTGACAATGAACTTCTTGAACAGCACCCTAGCACCATCGACGTCAAAGAGGTCTTCGACTTGTTAATTCCACGGCACTTACCTCAGCTTGGTGGGAAATTTCAAGGTGAGTCAGACAAGAAGGCTTTAGTCATGCTTCAAAGAGCTTTTATGTCGTCGGACCACGAGCAAAAAGTGGAGGTCAGAACACGGCAAGAAAATGTTTGACTGGGATTTAGCGAATTGGAAATAGAATATATTTCCAGCAGATATATGTTCGAATGTCCTGCTTGTTTCGTTGGAAAACCTGGTAAATGTACTGAGATATATTATTTTTGTAGCAACATTTTCACTCACTTTAACCATCAGTGCTGATGTTCTTTCTGATGTATTGTAGAACTGGGATACACTGTAAATCAGTCGCACCGTTTGCAGTAGACTTAAGATGGACTCCTTCATGCTTACAGGGTCGTCCAGGTACAGCGAGTGACAGCACGTTTCCATGGCTTGTATAAACTTGGAATTGTCCCGCGCCTCATTATAGCAAAAGGTTATTTTACGATCGGTTTCCTTCCATTGCCTAATAATGCGGGAGCCCGCCAAAAAAAGACAATGCAGAGTAAACTGCACTTCTTTGTCTTGCAAATGGGCCAGAAGCTGTGAGAACTGCGCGCCACGTTTCTTCCAGTACTCCAGCTCGTCCTGTGGACCACTGTGATCGTTCTCCTTACGGAGCTGTTCGCTTTCGCCAAGGATTTTCAATATCCCCTTGGTCCAGTTATTGACACGTTCCTCGAGCTGTGTGCAAAACTCTTGGTTCTTGGACATGTCTTTGACCTCATCCACCAGATCGATTTTCTCAAACATATCGCAGCCATCGGCAAATACGTTGTGATGATCGCACACCTGCTCGCAGACGCGCAACGCACTGCAGAATGATCGCAGTCCTGGAAGGAGCTGCCCTTTGATAAGACCGCAGCTAACGTCCTCCTCATCGCCTTCCAAACTGGGAAAGGCCAGGGCCTGCATGAATACAAACTCAACGATTCGCTCAATGGAAGTGACCAGGCCAATGTTCTTGGCATCGATTACACCACAGTACCTATGTGGAATAATCAAGGATCACGTAAGAACCAAATAGAAGAGTATAAAAAGACTTACAAATCCTTTTGGAATCCCTCTTCCGGAAGCTGCTTGGACGTATTCACTCGAAAGATATAAATACAAACACCTGTAAAGGCGCAGGTCCAACCATCCGTCAGGAATAACTTCTTTTGCTTTGGCGGAGGCATACCACTCGGAGAGGCGCCACCTGATGAAGGAACAGAGAGGTAAGTGTGGCTCATTCGATAGACAGCAATATACAGAGATGTAAATTGTAATTTTATAGTATTATTTAATCTTATAGTTAAGACCTTGCGGCGTCTTAGAACTGCTGGATGCAATGCCACTTCTTGACGGTCCCGGCTTATTTGCGTCTGGAGTCGGTGTAGGCTCCGGTTCATCCACTTCCTGATAAAACCAGAGCAGCTTGTTTTTCATATTCGGCAAAAATAGCTGATTGATTTCATCGAGCTACAAAAGGAAGTATTAAAGATATAGGAATATCTCAATGTATAGCATAAATATAGGAAATATAGAAACTACCATATCCCCTTCGAATATGTAATCCATGAGCTGATGTCTGGGCAACTGAGTGGCGTCGATCAACAACTGGAAGGTGAACTCCAGTCGGGGATCCATCTCCCCACGGCGGGCCTTGCGTTCGCATTCTTCGCGTCGGCGCTGTGCTTCGTCCGGGTCCATGTTTCAACGTTATCACGTATCACATACGCACGCGTATTATATATTATTTTTTGTGGTTTTGTTTTGTTTTGTTTTTTAACACGTGTAGGGCCGTTGGGGTTCCAGAAAATAATATTTTGGATCAAAAGTTTGCATGTGCGGTAGGATTTTGTATTTATATTTTTGTAAAAAATCGAACATTGATTTTAAATTTTAAATCAATTCATTGTTTGTTTTTTTGTTTCAAAATTCAAAAACGGGAGAGACCAAAAATATGTTAGTTTCAAAAAACAATTTCGTTTTACACTACAAATGCGTGTTGCAGCAAATTCTGAATTGCAAATTGTTTTATAACTAAATCTATATTCAAAAACTCTAACTACGTTTTACATACAGATAAAAAACAGATAATTCATAAAATCAAAGTCATTTCTGCATACATACAAAAGTGTGTGTTTCAAAAATATATTCTCCTAAGAGTTTTTGTATTTTGCATTTATGTAAGTGGGGATTGGGGGGTTGTTACTCAGCTAAAACGAAGCTAATGAAGATATGTGTATTAGTTGTAATTAACTGTCCTATTAGCCGTTAGACAACAAATACATAGGCATTTACATTCGCTGTACGAAATACGTAGGTGTTTGCGATTACGTAATCAGTCAAAGGGTAACAAGGAAGGGATCTAAAGACATTACATTTTACTGTTAACAAGCAATGTTTACACTTGCATTACACCTAATACGGTTTTAGTATTGAATCTAATTTGGTTTCGAAATTTTGGCACCTGCAAAATATCTCCCTGGTCCTCTTCTTCCTCTTCTTCATCACTGCTGGCCCCTTCGCCACGCATTGCCAGCACATGTTCAATCAGCTTTTTTTTCTGCACGAACATTTTGTCCAACAATTCTACACAAAAAGCAAATTCACCATAAAGAAAGGCACCCAAATGTGCAACCTTTATCAAATATCATAATAGATTTACTAGATTTGCAATCGCTGTCTGTTTTTCTACACTGCGAAAGTTTACGTCACACCAGGAATTGAACAAACAAATGAAAATACGCGCCATGTTGCCCAGCAACTGATCAGTGTTGAAAAGCACACCAAGTGAACCAATCGGAACTAGTCCGTCGTATCGGTTCACTTTTTTAGCTGTTTTCAGCTTGCAGAAAACGAAAAAATAAAAAACATTTTTATAGCCTATTAAAAGCGTAACTAAAGGTTTTCACAATTTTGTATTAACAATTAATAATAATAATAATAATTTACCTCAGGTAGTTGAACTATTTAAACAGAGGGGGCTTAGGTGGGCCAAGTTCTGTTTTTCATCATTGTAGACGCTATGTTGTTGTTGCAAAGCAATCAAAGTCAAGTATTCAAAATAAACCAGTCAAGTAGAAAAAAAATGTATTAATCGTATAAAATTATGTGGGCATAGATAAAGGCCCGGTTGACAACATTTAAATCCTTGTCGCTCACATTCAAAAAAGTTCGATTTGGCGCGCACCACTCGGTATATTTTGTATATTCTGAGGGTCATACTGTAGAAATTGGTTTTCGCCGCGCTCGCATGTGGTGTTTTTTAGTGCTAAATGGTATTTTTGTCATTTATTAATTTAATTTTCAATGTTATATAGAAATCCAATAAATGCAAGTATTTCGAATAAATCAATCATGTATAGAATTGATTCATCAATCGTACAAAATTGAGTGGGCATGGCTAAATGTTCTATATAGATAGTATTATTCAACGGAACAAAGATTATGAGGAATTGGTCGTCCCATTCCATACACAATGTTGCGGCAACATTTATTTGAAAACCGTTTTTTGGTCAAAATAAAATACATAAAGGTAATTAAAAGAAGCAATCTTGTAGAAAATGCATTTATCTATGGGATAAAGCTAAGTGAGCAAATCTATATAGCTTGAAATATAGGCAATACCCGATTCGCCGCAGTTTCGCTTTTGCAACAATGAGTCTCATTCCATTCACAAACATGTTGCTAGTTCCAAGCACACATACCCTGGGGGAAATGGATGTTATAGAATTGTGAATACGTTTGTCTTCCAAGGCTCAATAGGTATCAGGATCGCTATAAATATATACAAGATACTAATAATGTACTCGAATATGTCTAAAGAATATCAATTTGAGAAAAGGTCTTAATAAATTACGTTTGATCTTCATACAAAATTAGCGAAATAGGGTGTACAAAGGGCTATACACGCATCACGTCTTCAAATACCAGGAACATTGCGACTCTTTTTGTTGAACTTTTTCGTTTAACCCTGTTTTTACAATAAATACAATAAAAGCAAGGACTAAAAACTATCCAATCTTGTAGAAAATTGATTCATTATTCGGATAAAATTATGTGGGCATGGCTAAATGTTCTATATAACTAGTAATATTCGACGGAATATTTAAAATATAACTCTAATTCGTCAGTATATTTACGGTATATTTTGAAAATGCGACGGTATGTTTCGGTATATTTCTGAGGGTCGGACGGTATATTGTATCGATAAATCCCACAAACGCGGCAATTTATTTATTTAATTTGTTTACATTTATTGTCACTCAAAATGGATTTAAATACGTTGCTGCAGCGCGCCCAGAACCTGACAAACGAGGCCAAAGCCGAGTACGAGATGCCTCAGGTGGAGCGTACGCTCCAACAGGTGTTGCAGGCCACCACGGACCTACACTCGCGCGTCACTCAGTCCAGCAACAAAGATATACAAGCGTAAGTAAATAAAGCATTTGTGCGATTTCCCAGGCTGATCATGTTTCTGCGGCAGGCATATACTGCTCGGTTCCAAGGGCATAGATCTTCCCAAGCTTACCCAAAAGCTGGAGGCGCTCAATGCACGAAAAACCTTCGAACCGGTCGATGTGGTTGGGGCTGACACGGATGTGTGCACGTTCCTGAAAAACGAGCGCGAGAACGCCATACTTTCAGTGATTGAGGATACCAATAAAAACGTGAGTACATGGTTTTGCTGCTCCTCCTACATTCACTAGAATGGCCTTCTCCTTCTTTAACAGATAAGTGAGACGGTGAGCAAACAGAAGTGGGTGAACCTGAACAGCACTTGGAATGAGGAGAAAAGCCGGTTGCTGGACGCCCTGATTGGACCCTCGCAGAACTTTATCGATCTGCAGCGTCTGCCAGAGCACATTACCCTCGATCCCAACGTGCCGATAAGCAGATGCCTCAGCCCAATGGAGCTTATCTACGCCCAGGAGCTGCGCCACTATAACGAACTGCTGCTAAAGGGCGCCCACCGACCAAATCTTGTGCAGAAGTTCGCCGTGTTGACCAGCAGCTTTGGCGATGATCGGCTGACGGACATGTGGTCAACGGTGGCCGCCGTAACGCAGGTGAACGAGCCCCTCCACAGCGATCCCATCAAAGCTCGCCAGCAGCGGCCAGAGTTTGTTATTAACGCCAATTCGTGTCTCGAGAGGCACTACAAGATCTACATGTGCACCCTGGTGGGGGCTGCCCACTCCAGCAATTGCTATCAACTGGTACGTGCCTATGTGACCAATCGATTCAGCACTCAGCAGACAATCGGCCTGGTGGACACGTTGGAGGACAAGCCACTGTGGCCCATGGTCTACTATTCCCTGCGGTGTGGAGCAGCAGAGGCGGCTGTGGAATTCCTGCACGAGGCCGGACCCAGTTACGAAGACTTTGCCCAGGTCATCGCTGATCGCAGCGCGGGCGCCGTGAATTCGAGGACAGAGACACAGCTGAAGCTGCAGTACGCCAACAAGATTAAGAACTCCACCGATGCATATAAGAAGGCAGTATACTGCTTAATCCTGGGCTGCGACCCCAACGAGTTGCACGGCGAGGTGGCCAAGACTATCGACGACTATTTATGGATCAAGCTGGCTATGCTCCGTCCCGGGGATGCCGCCGGCTATGGTAGGCTCCAGTCGGAGATCCTCGAGAAGTATGGAGAAAAGCATTTCCATGCCAGCAACCAGACTGACGTCTATTTCAAAGCCCTGGTTCTTGTCGGCCTTTTTGAAGCCTCGATTGAGCTACTGGCCCGCAATGGTCAATCCGTTCATGCCGTCCACATGGCCATTGCCCTGCACGAGCTGGGAGTGCTGGGCGGAGCCCGCAGTGTCTCGCAACCGTTGCTGTCCATCGACATCGCCGACCCTCAGCCGCTGCGCCGCCTCAATCTGACGAGATTGGTCCGGCTGTACGCGCAGCGCTTCGAGCGCACGGATACGACGGAGGCTCTTAACTACTACTTCACCCTACGTTGCTTGCGAGATCCGAAGGGCCGGAACATGTTCCTCACCTGCGTCTGTGATCTGGTGGTAGGCAGCGGGGCGCTGGATACCAGCATTTTCGACTTGATATTCGGCCAGCGGATGACTGATGCCGACGAAGAGGTTCCAGGGTGAGTCTGAGTGTATTTCTCCGTGTCCCCCCACCAGCATACCATCACTTTCTTTAATTCCTTTCTCAGAGGAGTATTCCGTCAATTTGACTGTCCGGAGTTCGACACGAACACCACGGCCTCGCTGATCGCAGAAGAGCTGGTTGCCCGAGGCAGCTTCGAAATGGCCGTGCGGCTTTACGAGTTGGCTGGCAACTACAACCTCGCCCTGAAGCACTTCAACATTCTTCTGGCACAGGTCGTGCAGTTGTCGCCGCAGGAGGGATCACAGCGGGCCCGTCTTCGAGACGAGGCTAATCGATTTAGCAGACTCTTGGCAGCCCTCCGTATGGATGTCGAGCCCAAAATAAGGGGCAGCTTTGCACTGCTGCAGCTGCTCCTCGTTTTCTTTGACCTCCATCATGAGGGGAAGCTGGTCCAAGCTCTAGAACAGCTGCAGCGCACGAAGCTGATGCCAAACACCACGGATGATGTGGAGGGCTGTTTGACCACCATCAAGAAACTCAGCGGAGAGGTCATCAAGGTGATCCCCGACGTGATGGTGGCTGCCATGGACATCACACTCACCCAGTACAACCAGTTGAAGCCGTCGGACACCTGTAGCTCGAATCAGCTGCAGTTGCAGCTCGAAAAGTTGCGAGTGCGGGCCAAAGCATTGTCCAACCTCGCCGCCAGCATGCCTTTCCGCATGCCCTACGAAACCAACAAACGTCTGATGCAGCTGGAGCTGATGATGCACTAGAATAAAAGTATGCTAACCTGTACAGGAGATCAGATATGTACTCTATTTATTTCATCAGCATGAAAATGTACTCCTCCTCTTCCTCCTCTTCGATGTCCGCGTGATCTTCAAGTCTCTGCTCAAGTTCCTGTATTCTAAGAAGAGCAGCAGCCAGCTGCTGGTGCAAGTTAACGCTGATGTCTTTGGTTCCTTGGCAGGATGGACATGATTCAGGCCCATCAGTACCTTTCGAATTGTCCTCGTCGATTCCCTCATCTTCAGCCTCGTTCCTGAGAGGGAGATCCAAGGGATCTTCAGTGTCAGTGCCAAGATTCAGTTCAGGTAAGGCTTGCTTTGGCAACTTGCTGTTTTTGTTGGGCAGCAGACTCGGACGAAAGTGTCTGGAGCATATGAACGGCCACTTTAATCCGTCTTTAAGCCTGCACAGCTTCATCCACTCTTTTCGCAGCTGCGGCTCTGTGGGAAAACAGTGCAATCTATCGGGCGGCGATCGTGTCGTGCAATCCCCGATGCAGCACTTTCGCACCAACTTTTTCTTCTTTGCGGCGCCATGGTGCAGTCTGTCTGTCTTGCCTGAAAATCAAAGGATCGTCAGAGTATATCTTTAGCTACTACTAATAGTGACCTGACCTACCCACAAAGAGCGTTGGTACTGCCCAGGCGAACAATTTGGACTTGCCGAAACAGTGCGGCTCAAAGTGTCGCCGGCACACCCGCCGATTCGAGAGTTTTGCGTCCTTTGGCATGCAGAGATTCTCCATCCACTTCAGCCTGACGCTCGGCTTTGAAGGAAACTTGAACATAGAGCTGCTGTCTTGCAAGCCACTCTCGTGACATTCGGAAACCGTGCAACGAAGACGTTCATATTTAATCATTTTTTTGTTTTTTTTTTTTTTGTGACCCTGAAGTGAAATGGAGAAAGCAACAAGTGTTGTAAGCCGTTTCTAAGCTTGTCTTTAAATTTGGTCCTTTTCCATGCACTCCATTTCATATAATAGCTGGAAACTCGATTGGAAGTGCTACGACAAGTGCTATTTGGACAGCATTCAGTGCATCAAGCGTCTACTAACATTAAATATTTATTTCAAATTGTTTTTTGTTCAACCGAAATTTATCCATTTTTCGCCAGAAGTAATAAAGGTTTAATAATTTTAGACCAGTTCAGGTGAAAGATATCGTGGTTGTTTTTAAGTTCAGAGGAAAGATGACGGGTCTCCAAAAATTATTTACAATCAGTAATATTTTCCGCCATTTTCCTGAAGTCTTTGAAATGTTTAAAAAGAGGGGGTTAAGTGGGCTAAGTTCGATGACTTATCGATATACGATATATAATGGAATATTTTGTCAATTTCATCAATCTATTAAATTTCATTTTCAAGTTATATAGAAATGAAATAAAAGCAAGTATTTAAATTAAACCAGTGAAGTATAATATTGATTCATTATTCAGATAAAATTATGTGGGCATGGCTAAATGTTCTATATAGATAGTAATATTCAACGGAATATCAAAAGCGAGGAATATGTATAGCACGACTTCAGTTCGTCAGTATATTTACGGTATATTTTTAAAGTGAGACGGTATATTTGCGAGTGTCGGACCGTATTCGATAAAACCACGGTCACACTGACAGACGCGGGCTCACCTTTTTGCCGAAAAATAAATATTGAAAAGTGTTATTAAAGTAATATAAAGAGGGAATAAACTATTCTTAAAGTGCAACACAAAAAGGTAAACTGATTTAGCAACTTTAAGTTGCAGTTTTGGGGCATACGAATCGCGTGTATGTACATATTGGGCAAAGATACCATGCGCAAGAGGGTGCCTGCAAATCAAAATGGCGTACGCGGTGCAAAAAAAAAGCAGCTAGAGTCACAAGCAATAAAGTCGCCGGCTGGAAAAACGCATTTCCATTGTTTTATATTTGTCCATTGTTTTTGGTTGTACTAAAAAGTTGCCTTATTTGTAGTTTGCAAACAATTGACACTAAAATGGCAAACGCTGATGTGCAGTATAACTACGGCCAGCAGGACAACGGCGAGGACTACAATGACGATAGCAACCAGCAGGATGATGATGATCAGTACGAGGATAATGGCAATGATGGAGTGAATGTGAAGATTGAGAACGTGGGCGAAAGCCCAAAGTTTATACGCCTCCGCGGTCTTCCCTGGTCGGCAACGCACAAAGAGATCTTGGACTTTTTGGAGAATGTGAATGTCACCAATGCCTCGCAGGGCATTCATTTGGTGACGAGTCGTGTGGATGGCAAGAATACGGGCGAGGCCTATGTAGAAGTTGCAACCCAAGAGGACGTGGAGGAGGCACGAAAGTTGAACAAGGCCAGCATGGGACATCGCTATATTGAGGGTTTGTGTGAACCTTTGTTTTTTGGATGGTTGTGACTGTACTTGTACATGTTGCAGCACCAAAGCCTGCGCTATGTGTGCTGGCAACTCCAGTTTCCAGTGCCGAGAATTTATCTTAATTTCTGTCATCTGGTATTCTTTTTAATTAGTCTTTACCGCAACGCCTAAAGAAGCCAAGGAGGCGATGAGGAAGATTGGCGGTCATGGGAATGCTTTCGTTGTAAAGCTGCGAGGACTGCCCTATGCCGTCACAGAACAGCAGATCGAGGAGTTCTTTACTGGTAAGTCTCGCTTTTTCGTCCTGTACATTTTCTTAGGCTCATCTAGCAAAGACAGTGTTTGACTGCACTACCACTTTTGTTTTTTTTCTCCGGCTGAAGCCGACGGGCGAGTCGACATTCCTTTTTTTGAACCTATTAATCGTATCAACTACACTTCTCATACCAATTACACATACATTTATTTTCCGACAAATTGTAAATCTGTAAACCAATTCAATTGTGTTTACACCTATTTAGAGCTCAGCTCACAAAAGTGAAAGGATGTATTGGGTTTAGTCCGGCAAAGCATTTCCCACCTAATAAAGCAAACAATAATACTTGTTTAAAGTCGACGACCGAGTGTATGTGATCCATGTCCGTGTGTCCGCTAAAATATTTTGAAGATTATAATTGCAAATTTTCATAGTCGGTTAGTAATTCCATGTACTTCTTCTGAACCCAGGTTCTGGGAACATTGTGGTCGGGGAATCTCTCGATTGCAGCATTCCCACATTGAACGGTTTTAACGAAACGGTTACGGTTACGGTTGTCGATTTCAAACCTGCTAAACTTCAAGAACTCGAACTATTAAAGAAAATAAAAACATGTATCGTATCAATCTCTCTGTATCGTATCTCTCTTATTTTGTATCTTAGTTTAACCTTGCATCATTATGTATATAAAAAATCTATATATTTGTATAAATCTTTGTTGGTTATCGTCATGGGCAGGGTTGGAAATCAAAACGGATCGGGAGGGCATACTTTTTGTTATGGACAGAAGGGGTCGAGCAACTGGGGAAGCTTTTGTTCAGTTCGAAAGCCAGGAAGACACTGAGCAAGCCTTGGGCCGAAATCGGGAAAAAATTGGGCACAGGTGGGTTCTTATGCATCATATCTACAACAACTACAACAACAAACCGGTGCTATAAAAGCATTCCAATGGTAAAATAACTTAAATACTCTTAGTTAAATATACAAAAGAACAAATAAAAAATAAAACCATAACTTTTTCATGGAATATTCATACAAAACGTAAATATATCTATCATAAATAACCTCTATTTCAGTAGCAACCATTTTCTATGTGCGTTGCGCAAGCTATGGGTCTGGTTGGGCTTTTCAATCATGTTCAAGCGCCGAGATATGTGTGTTTCGATCAATCACAATAATACAATCACACGAATCGAGTGCTTTTGTTAATTTTAAACTGAAAATACAAAAAAAAACTCTCAAAACGCATTTATTTTGAAATGGCGTTGAATATTTACTTTCACTTTATGATTTTGTTGATTGGATAGTTAACCCTTAAAGAAACAACATGCCACCGACCCTAGCATAAGCACATCATTGTTGGGGCTCGTTCTAATGTTCCCATGTTATTTTCTCGATTCTCGATTATATAGATACATTGAGATCTTCCGCAGCTCAATTGCTGAGATGAAGCGTGCCACAGGCAGCGGCGGAAGCTCTGGCGGACGCCCGGGCCCCTATGATATACGCGATCGCGGTGCCAATCGTGGAGGTAACGATTTCGGGGGAGGACGAAATGGTCAGTCAGCTAGCTGCATCTCTCTAGCCATAATATAGCCTATTTATATGTATATTTTTGTAACCATAGACTGGGGTAACAATGGAAATTTCGGTGCTGGTGCCAACAACATGCTTGGCTTCAACAATCTCCCCAGTTTGATGAACTCTGGAAACTTTGGCAACAATCCCGGCGGTGGAAATGGTGGCGGTAATGGCGGAAATTTCGGACCAAATTCAGGACCGAGCAATTTTGGAAACTTTGGCGGGAACAGCGGAAACTCGAATTTCGGTGGAAACCTAGGTGGTAACGGCGGCGGTGGCAACAACGGCGGCGGTAACTTTGGAAACTTCGGGGGCAACAACGGAGCTGGAAATTTTGGAGGTAACAACAGCGGAGGAGGCTTCAACAGTGGCAGTAACTTCGGATCTCCAGTGGGCGGCAGCAACTTTGGCAACAACAACAATGGAGGATCCAATTTCGGTGGAAACAACGGAGGCGGCTTCAACAATGGTGGCAGTAACTTTGGCTCTGCAGTAGGCGGCGGCAACTTTGGCCCAATCGGTGGCGGTCGTAACAACAATAACGGCGGCAACTTTGGTAATAATTCCGGATTTGGAAATTTCGGAGCCAACAACGGCGGAAACGGAGGAAACGGCAACTTTGGCGGAGCCAACAATGTCGGCTTCAATAACGGCAGCAACTTTGGCTCATCCCTGAGCGGAGGGGGCAACTTTGGCCCCATTGGCGGTGGCCGTGGAAGCGATGTGGAGTACTATACAATCCATATGCGAGGACTCCCGTATACTTCATTCGAAAATGATGTCTTTAAGGTTTGCATACCTTCATGTTCGCACTTCCCGATCAGTTTTATTAAATGCATTTCGTTTTTCTTTCAGTTCTTCGAGCCTGTTAGGCCTGCTAATGTCCGTATAAACTACAACAAGAAGGGTCTGCACAGCGGCACTGCTGATGCCTATTTCGACACCTACGAAGATTCTCAGATCGCCATGAAGCGCCATCGGGAACAAATGGGTTCGCGTTATATTGAGCTCTTCTACGACGGAAAGACACGAGGCGGTGCCAATGGAAATGGCGGTGGTGGCAATGGAAATGGAGGTGGTGGCAACAATGGCGGCGGCGGTGGCGGTGGCGGCAACGGAGGTGGAGGAAACTTCTCTCGTCGCATCTGAGGCCCCTCCATCTGAGGGCTTGATTACATTAACTATAATGTAAGCGCAAGTATTTAATTTATAAACAAGGCGCAACTATAAATCGCTAAGACACCTTTGTATCCGTATAATACACTATCAAATAGATTTTACACAGCGACACATATTTTGGTAGTGCATTAAGAAAAAAACCTTTCCATACCGATATCCAAGGCGTTTAAATAATTAAATAAAACAGAAAACATTGTATTTAAGAATAAATCTTCGATAAATTTCAATTATAATATCCTAAGCTTCAACTGTATTCTTATGTTTTGGGTGAATAAACATTAGTTTTTAAACAAAAGCGAAACAACGATAGAATTGTATTTAATAACAGTGGAGGTATTCGAGAGAAAGAGGAATGGATCAAAGAGAATCCTGGCCATCGATGCAACATTTAATACTCTATTTTCCAGTGCTGTCTATGGTGCTGCCCCTCCATAATATATTCTTTACGATTGCATAAATCAAGAACAGCGTTTTTTTTTGTACATGGAAACCAAGACAATAGACAATAGCAATCTTCCAATTATAAGCCAATGACAGGTCTCACATTTCACTTACCTTCAAGACAAATGTCAACATAGTATCTCTGATAGATAACCACTTGTCAATAAATTCTTGTTTATTTGTTGATCTAATGATCATGTTCATAATTAAACCAATAAAATGCTTGCTAAGAATAGCTACGTTGAATAGATAGTCGTTGCCTTAAGCGGGATGTTGGGTCGTCTAAAGTTACGTATACTATACAAGTACATATTTAGTACCTGCGGTTTGGAAGATCTTTTTGAAAAGTACGACCACGTAAAACGATTTTGCGAGCAGCCATAGGATGTGTCCAGTAGGATGTAAAAGTCCTAAAAATGTGTAAGCCCGAAAGCAGCTTCTGTACATTCCAGTCACTTTAGTCTCTCGTCTGTCTAATGCGCTAATGAATCGAACATGCTTTGGAAATTTGTTTATTGCGAACACAGTTTAAATTTGGACAACAAGCGCAAAGGTGTTACTATGCGCTTCATAAAAGAGGGAGATACAAGTATGGATAGTAGACTGACAATATCAATATTTTAGCTATCTGGCCTAGTCGGCAAAGGGAGTGGAATGTTACATATGTATAGAATATGTAGATTTTTGACCTCTATAAATCCCATTAAAACTCAAACTACTCAAACGTAAAGTTAGACTCACTCACAATACGAGTCGTCCCCGTCCCCTTCCCCCCCCCTGTTCGCTGATTATACCGACACACAGATTTTTATTTCAGGCTATAAAGACCACGCAAATTGAGATAAGCATTTTGGAGTCGTGATTATTTCGAGCTCCCGTGCCGAACGGAACGGAATGGAAATCTGCCTCAGATTCGAAGCGGAAAACTCGTTACGTATGAATTGGAAAGATCTTTGATGCAAATCAGCGAAGACCATTGGAAAATTGTAATTATAGACGTCATTATTCTTAACTGAACGAGGGAGTTACCCGATGGTGATAAGCGTGCTCCAAACACCTAGCCAAACACCCAGCGAGAATAAGCAGCACAGCAGCAGCGGCGACGGACGGCGCCAGTCAATGCCAGAGCGCGAAGCGGTCGCGTTGACATCGGAGCTGCTCTCTAATAATACATTGGAGAGATACTTATTTTGTTGCTTATACTCGTAGTACTAATTGTCGCGCCGTGCTAAAATTCTGTGGAACCTAAAACCAAAAACCGATGCAAACTGGAACATCCATCATCGGTGCCGTGTCAATCAGAAATCGAAAATCAGAAACTGAATCAATCTCAAATCGGCTGCGCGAATCATTTGGCTGTGGCATGTGGATCGGAGGGAACCTGACGATCACAGCAAAAGTAAAACACGCGCTACAAGTGTGAGCAGGTGGAACGCAAAACAGGTGACGCTCGTGGGGGTGTGGAGTGGGGTGGGGTGGGGGGAGCCGTTGTGGAGAGAAACGGAGGAGGTGTCTGTGTACTCATTATTCTCATTCGTATTCGTAAACGTATTTTTTTTTTGCATCTCTGTGCCATTTTAATTGATTTTGTAAAAAATTGTGTATATATAACGTAGTGTTATTACAGTAAAGATACAATAAAGATGTACCTACGAATAATGACAGATACATCCATGAAATACTAAATCTTTCTGTGATGTAATCTATACATAATATATGCAGCCGAAAAGTACATATTTTTTATGAAATACGACAACACAATTAGCTTTTTAAACTTATTGCTTAATCTTTTGTTGTGTTAGCAAAAAGTACTACATATTTTCATATATTTTTTGGCAAACTTTGAGCTTTTTATAATATAACTCGTAGGTACATATATTCAACAGACAGGCCACAGTAAACACTGCAGATGAGGTAAAAGAGCTAAAGAAGTGCTACTCGACAATTACTTTAGTTTATGTCTTAAATCAAAGAGTTTGGCTTAAAATCCCCTTAAAAAATGAGTTCAAACTTCAGCAGGTTATCCACTTGTCTGATCGTGCCCCTTCAAAACATTTGTCTTTCACATAATTACGTTTCCTTATCAGCTAGAACAAATATGTACGTACATTATTAATATTTTCCTCGAGTGGCTTCAAAGATTCACTTCGTATTGCCATGACACAGAAACCGTGAAAAAAGTGATACAAGAAAGTTTATACATACATATATACTACATTAATAAGGGTTTATATTTATCAGGAAAGATCTATAGATCCCACTACTTATAGATAGCCAGTAACGCCTATGGCCAGTAGCCAATGAAAACACAACACAGCCATCAAATAATTTTATATTCGTTTAAAATGGTCATTAGCATTATCGATTTTTAGCAGATCAATAAAAATAAACAGAAAATATTTAAATAAATCCAAAAATGTATAGCGTTAAGAATTATGAGCGGAATTTGGAATTCGCAACCCGTAAATTTTCACAATCCCCATCATAATACTGACAAGAGATTAACAAATTGTAATAAATCTTTAAAGTTCAGTCAAAAGTTGCTCAATGAAACTGGCTGGCTGGCAATTTATAAATAATAATAAAATCATAAATTATTCCGCCTTCTGTTCCGCTCCTCCTGCACTGCACTGTGTCTTAGTCAGCCTCGATCCAGTGATTACAGCCTTATCACTAGTATATACTCGTAGTGGCGTCTAATCGTTCAGTCGGAAGCTACTTGCTTTATTGTGGGGAAAATCAGAACAAACATAAACCATGTTTTCATATTACTTGTACATTTCCTCCTCATTCCAGATCGGCTTCTCAGTGGCATTGCAAGTGATATCCCAAATATATTTTGATAAGAATATAATTAACCTGTGAGACCTGTGAGGTATTCCGATGTGCCATTGTTATGGTCGTTATGGCTGCTGTTAATTAAGCCTTCACACAGTTAAGTGCGCCACTTGAAATGTACACATGGCTATTGGCTATACAAAAAACCTCTTAAACACTCCCTTATCGCCAGTCGGATTCGGCCCAAAGGGTAGACAAGAGTAAAAAGTGATTTCTACAGATAACACCAGAGAGCGGCAATGGTGGCCGGTAGCCGGTAGACGGTAGCGCGATATCAGTAGAAGTTTCCCAGGCAACGGAGACGTCGTCGTCGTCGTCGTCGTCGTCACAGTCGTTGGACAGCAGAAGTTACTGGTGCAACTGAAAGTACAAGATTCGTGAATCAACTCTGCACGCCACAGAGCTCAGATCAGAGCTCCATCAGTTGCCACCTACCCACCTACTCGTCGCCCGAGCTCGAGCCCTTGGATCTCGAAAGGAAGTCGATCTTGTGACTTCGCCATCATCGTGTGCTGCAACACAAGTGCATTTTACATTGTGCTAATTGGACTTAATGTAGAAAAGAGCCCAAGAAATTTGCTTTTGCTCTTGCTTTTAAATTCAATTCATGTGACGAATGTGATTCCATGGGCATTCACAAGTGACGAATGTTGATAAAATTCCAAATTTAAGAGCTTTTCGTGCGTGGAAAGTCGAGAGATATAAGATATAAGAAATGGCGAAAGTAAACAAAAACGAAAGCGAATCCCTGCTAGTCGCACCATCATCGGCCTCAGCCCGGATACACCACCCTGTGCGTACACATTCCAATGCGTCCTCGCTGTACTCAAATATGGGTCATCATCCGCACCATCGTGGAGAGCAGAGCCCCACGGTCGAGGGAGATATGGAAGAGGGTCTTGGCTACACCCACACACTGGTGAGTGAACTAAAAAGAAAGTTAAGCACATTTACGTTAAGGTGGCTTGTAAAAAACAATTTACAAATAATTGCTGAAATCGGTGCAAATTTTTCAGCTTTTATATGCAATTTTCTCTTGACTGTCATGTGACATGGCTTGATCAAGACTCTACCGATTGAATACTTATATTTTCAATGAACAAGTTTAGACGTCATTTAGATTTACATGTGTGGGCGATTCGAATTCTTTTGCGGTTAGTCTGACTGGATAATTTGTTTCTTTCTTCTTGCTCGTTCAATATCTATAGCTCAAGTTCTAGGTATTCTATTCCATACGTCACGTTGCTAGCATAGTATTTCCCGTTTAGTAATAAAGAAGAACCAAATCGTATCTACTGCTTCATATACTCGTATTTGGTTTCTAATTTGTGTTGTATGAGTCTGTTTCTTTAATATTTTTATTTGCTATTCCTAAGTGGTCTTTGGAGTATTTTTTCCCTTGGATAAAAGCATAAAAACATTAGTTGCAGTCTTTACACAATAGCGATAGCAAATGATATTATGATAAATATTTTAAATGCATTGCTAATTGATTGTTTGAAATTGTCAATCGGATTATGAGGCTTAATAGTAAGTAAACTGCCTCATCAAGTAATAAAAAATGAAAAGTAATGTGCTTATCTGCAAAGCCAGGTAATACCAAAACGAGGCCAAGTAATTCCCCTAATGATAAATATTCGTTTATTCAAAGAGCCGTAAATACATACGATAATATCAACATATAATGTACGTATGTACGCATCTATTGTTGCGAGTCTATTTTAGACCTATATTTATATTTGTATTTGCATGCCGACAGCACCTTGCGCACCTTGCCACAGCGCCCTTCAGTGAACCAACTCGTGGAGACTTCATGTTGATAATGAAATGTATTATAATATATCTGTATCTCTATCTATATACAGGTATGTGGGTACACCTGTCGAGGAATGGCATTACTGTCTTGTCTTAATTTTTGTCATCCACAAACAAGAGTAGTATTCGGTGACAAACTAAGCTACTTGTTTGGGATCCGATCTTATTTATGTTGTACGGCTTTCTAGCCACATCTAATTAGAGTTAATTCAACATCCGTTTAATCTATGGTACTACAGCTAGTAGATCAGTAGGTACTACTACTACTAGTATGAGTATTTTCTGAGGGTATTCCACCCCTCGGTTTCATATTATATTCCTTTTTTCTTTTGTTCGTCTCATGTGCTAAACATGTGACCATTTGTTTATTTTTCATTTAACTTTTTGTTTTTGTCATGCGTTCAGTAATCCATTGCTCGAGGCATGATTGTAGGAGCATAGTATATCTCATTAATCCATGGGATAATTTCGGCTATATTTCAAACAATGTTTGCTTATTAGAGCACTAATATTTGCAGCAGTTTATAGGAGATAACGACCTAATTAGGAGCCCTATTAATCGATTGATCACAATGGCACAATGGCCTTATCGACGTCAGACGATCTTTCCATCAATCATAATTCAGTTCTTTCTCTGATAACGAACAAAAATTCGATTGGGTCAATCGATTAAACAATACCCAACGAAGATGCGATGCTTCCTAAGCTTTTATATCAGAATGTTGAGTGCTGAGTGAATATGAATATTATTTTGGTTGCCCCCCACAGAAGACTGAGGCGATGTTTGAATTCTGTTTTCAGATATAATTTTTGTTTCATAGTATTTACGCACCACGCGCTACGATTTAATCTTGGCAAATTGTATTTACCCAAAGATTTCATTCAATTTTTAATTAATTTTCTCCATTCTCCGCGAGAGAATGCGATGCCCAGCTATTATTTCGAGCCTTATCGTGTGGATTCCAGCGGCCTTTAAGGTGTCTCTGTCTATTGTAGACCCGAAATCGATGCTGGTGGAGCACCAGTCGCCATACAGTTTTAGCCAAGATCACTTTGGTTTGTCGCACCGTTGCTAATTTTCAACATACGAGTGGCTCAGTTTACACATTTTGCCGTCAGAAGAGTAAGTAAATTAACATATCAGCGATATGCGGGGCACAGAGATCACACACATCAGATAGATCATCATCAAAGCTCAGTGTTCGATACCGAAATTAGGGGATAATGATTGAAAAACAGTTCATTCTCTGGCATACTCGAATATTGTGTAACATGTGCAGTTGGTCATGTGAATTTAATAAATAAAAATTTTTCTTCTAAAATTTTTGATAATTCAATAGCGTATGCAAATGATTTATGTATCGTTTTCTCTGTCTCTGTTTTATTGAAAGCATTTAGCGAGTTTTGTGAGACACTTTCTACTAGCAAGTAGCCAATAAGACTCTATCGAAGGATCCTGGAGCCTCGATGGGTCCAGGCACTGGAGGGCGAGGCCATTGTAAATGATGATCGGGGTCACCACTAGCGGGGGTTCACATGGTTATTCAAAGAACATTCATCGGGGGCAGCCAAGTGGTTGTTGGTAATACTTATAGCGTGTACACCAACCGCTGTTTACCTTAACAGAAACCTCAAGTTCAAGCAGTGCTCTAATATCTAACAGTGAGCAATTCAAAGGCGATAAAGCTTCGACTCTCTTTTAAATAGTATCGTAATCGTAGTCGTATTCTCCCTTAAATCAATGAAATACATAGACTATAAAGTGCCAGCTAGCAATAGCTGTTCACAAAGAACACATTGTCATTCTATACGAGATTTTGGGGAGTCAAAATTCTTAAAATTGGAATTACGCTAATAGCTGGGGTTAAGCGGCCGTGCAAATGGACTAAGCCACAAGATATACTTAAGTTTGAGCAAAATCCAGCAACGATGCAAAGATACAACATGTGACCCAATGCCTAGTCCGCTGCCCGCCGCACATTGAGGCTATTAAAGCAAGTAATCGCAATTTGTGCAGCTTAAGTGATCAGACATCAGAGACAGTGGGACTATACAGGCCAAACACAAGATACAAGTGGACGGGAACGGTTCTTGGAGGCCATACTTGCCCGATAAGAACTACGTGAGTCCGAAGTGGACCCACTGTGCACTGAGCTGAGCGCTGAGCATTTTCACTTTTTCACTGTTGACCAGTCTACAGACTACAGACCACAGATTATTAAATTTATGAAATTCTATTGATATTTACACGCAAACTTTGACCGCTCGAGAGCCACTGAACACATCCACATGCATAGATGGAGACAGGCATCTTCTAAGTAAAAAACTTGAGACTGTAGGAAAACGGTAGCCTTACGAGTATATGTACATATAGTACATACGAGTGCGTTGTTGTTGGCTTGGTGTTTGTGTACTAAATTTAATGGAATCTTGAGTTTAAGCGAGACCAAATCGGCCTATCTTCATGACACTATTCAGTTCGACTGCAAACTTTGTTCGGTTCGCACAGGCAGACGCTGACGAGAGTGGTGTATCGTATCCCGGCTTCAGAGATTTTGCAATGTGCAAAGATTAATTACTATGTCCCAAAACATAATTGTTACTGCGAAAAAGGGGTCTAGAAACGTGTAGAGCGTGTGTATTATTGAATGCTTCCACTGATACTACCATAAGAATGGTTTACTTTGGCGATCGACAACGCGATCGTAATCGCGATCGCAGCAATCAGAAAGTCGAACGAATTATTCACGATGAAGAGTTTGGCGAAGAGAATGTCGAGCTGGTCGACTCGGAGTGGGCGGACTTCGAGAAGTTCATTTGCCAGTTACGCAAGCGTCGCACCAGTAACATGTCGATGGAGGAGGAACTGCGTCATGTACAGCGTCATCCGAAGATCAAATCGCAGGCATTTTACCCCTGCCCACCGTCAGCGGAGCACACGCGGGACTCGGACTCATCGGACGATGATGATCCCATCGGATACATTGACACACTTGTAAGCAGAGACCAAAGTCCAGCAATACTCGCACTACTACCATACATATATCCGAATAGTATAAGTTGTCTAATGCAATTGCCCCTAGATAGGATAGCCTGTAGGTATTTCGTGGGAAGTAATTGCATTCTTATCAGTATTATCAGTCTTCTATCTACATCGTATATCTTTACACTCCTGTGTAGGTTTATGGGTCTTCGAATCGTCGCGATTATTATGCCAATAAGTCTGGTTCGTGACTGCAGACGCGTTTTACGGAAAAAATCTTTCCACTTTCTTAATTTTATGATATTTAATGATGATAATGAACAATCATTGCTTACGTACACGTTTATAGACAGATAGGGGAAATCCGGAGTCTCATGAAGAAAGATTATATCTACTAGATTGCAGAACCACTTTGCGATCGGAATAAGTATTATTATAGCCGGAATGGACGCGCTTTTTAAGTGCTTCGATTTGTAAAAACCGAGTACATTGATGAGTATTAATATGGCCATACGTTTCGACTGGTTAATATTTGATGTTTTGATGATATCAAGCTGGCAGCACTTCAATTCGACCTTTCATCCACTCTACTCTGGTCGCCCACTCTGTTGTACTGGGCATCTGGCAGGGAATATTTCATCATTGAAATATGTACTTCTGAATGAATTTACAATATTCTAAAGCTTTCGCTCGCTGCTCTTATCGCAAGCTGTTTTCTTTATGTACCTGGGCCTCTGTCAAAGCAATGCAGAATAAGTTTACGAATGACGAAAAACAAGCAAAAGACATTAGCTATTTTTAATCCGATTATAATGCAAAGTGTTCATTATATTTAAAGCAGAAATAAATATTTTCATTGCTAAGGATAGTAGGGTGGAATGTGACGAGCACACTAGGAAACCGAAGCAAGTAAGCAATTCCTCTAAGAGCCTTGAAATAAAAAAGAAAATATTCTGAATACCGAATTCTGACATTCATAATCCACTAATTACGATCCCATTACGCCTTCCGAAAATCCGTAAATCCATAGTCCGATTGAGTTTTTTATTGCCAAGAACTTAAACAACTCAACATTCCTCCTCCTTCAGAGGCAGTTTTTTGAGATTCATATTTTGTTTACACTTGGCGCAACATTTTCATTAAATTTCATTGTTCATTTTGAAATATCGACATAGCATGTAGCGTGCTACCCTGCCACTGCCACTGGCACTGCCACTGCCACAGCGTGTACGCGTAGGTCTAGCCAAAAGAAATTTCAATAATTTTCCACAGGGCACAAACTGGGGAGAAAAGCTCGTCAATTCAGTTCAGTTTCAAAATACACGCGTTTACGCGGACACGAGCGCTGTTTCGTTTGGTCCATGGATTAAATTATCAATCAATATACGATAGATATAAAATAATTTAAAATCATAGAAAAGATTTCCAATCGTTGGTTCTTGAATGATATCAGTGCGGAATACTGTGTGAAAATAAATCAAATGCCTCAAGGCACTGAGCCCCGTATAAAATGTCCCAAATAAATTAAAACGAAAATTTTCAAAAATTTCTGTTCTGTGCTGACGAGGTGGGACTGGGACTGGGACTGGGGCTCAAGGGCAGGGGCCTGGCAATGAGAATCAAAAACATTATATAGCAAAAGAAACAGCGCGAAAACTAAAAATAATTGGCAAACAAAATGCGACACAAAAATTTGGCCAACAGCCGCCGTCGCAGTGTCAAAGGCCAGCAGAAACAGCAAACACATACAGATACTCGTACAGATAGATTTTGATTGAAAATTTTAAGTACAATACTCTTGATGTACGGTGCGGGACACTGTTCGCGTAAATCTCTTGCTTGATGTTTAACAATAGTCACGCGCACCAGGATGAGTACATTCGCGAATATACCTTCGAGCCGGAGCTGCTGATCAATCGCGAGGAGTACTTGCGGGAGGAGGAGCGCGCCCACAAATTGCCCTCGACGCCCGTCCGCCTGCGCTGGGATGAGGCGATTGCCAAGCAAAAGGAGAAGCATCGCAAAGCCAGCATTGATGTGTCCAACGATGATACAAACCAGATCGATATCGATATTGAGGCTTTCTACTATGTAAGTGGCAGTCACAACAGCCCACAGTCTACCCCCCGATGGCCGATGGTCGATGGCTTTCGTCGGGCGGTGCAGCGCGGCACTTGACCTCCAAAACAATTGGCAGTGGTCTTTACCTTGCCTTGCCCTGAATACCAACCATTTCTTGTAGCAATGTGCTCTTCTTCGAGAACGTGGTGTACATGTATCGGCCTTAAGCTGGGGTCTCGAGAGAGAAATATGTATAGTCTTTTATTCATCACTTAACAGGAAACTAACAAAACCAATAACTGTCTTTTGTTCACAGATGTATGGTCGTTATACCAAAGATTTAGGAGAATTCGCAAAGGATGAAGCCAGAAAACTCAAGCTACTCGAAAAGCGACGAAAGCAGGAAGACAAACAACGGAATAAGGTAAACTTAAATAGAAACGTAAAAACGTAAGAGTCAGTCCTCGAACCAATTAACTTGTGATCTCTCCTCGAAATGCAAACAATGTACATATGAGATAAATCAATATTTAAGGTACAAATAATATCATATTGTGATAAGAGTAGGGCTTGCGCAAAACCCCAAAAATAGCTCAAAAGTAGATCGATCCTTTGCTAGGGTATTCTTGACACGCATCGGTTTATAAAGCAGCAGTGCTGGGATATGTTTACAGGAACTGCTAGGGACACAATCGACCAGAGCAAAGCACATATCATCATGGATCTGGAGGCATACGGTGGCACGCCTGGGCGAGGACTGGGTCTTCTTGGCGTTACTAGGTATTATCATGGCCCTGCTCTCATTTATCATGGACAAAGGCATATCTATATGTACAAATGGTAATTCAGCTAAATTCCCAAGTGAAAACACGCTGCTGACAATTTCTCATTTTCCTCTGAATTCTCTAGCGCGTATCTGGCTCTATCGCGATCTGACGTCACATCCACTCATTCAATATATATCTTGGGTATCATTGCCGGTCTGTTTAATATTATTTTCTGCCGGCTTTGTGCATCTCATCGCACCGCAAAGTATAGGTAAGTGTCCCACCAAAACGAACCCCAACTATTAGATAGTGTATTGTACGAGTATGTAGTTCTCATTGGTAGAGTAGCAATCATTGATTATGTGATTATTTGACGAGTATTATGAAGGGGGTTTTCCAAAATTGCATGAATTTTTTGCTTACTTACTTTACTTCTATGGTTCTATTGATATAAACAGGAGGCAAACGAAAGGAGTTAGAGAGTGCATTTCTTTGGCGAAAGGCCGGCAAAGAAGGCAAAAGAGTATGCCCGAGAATGCAAGAACAAAATACAGCAGTTGCGCGATCGAGACTGATCGCTACTCGACTCGAGTGTCGTTTATTGTTGCGCATGCATGATATGAGAACAGATTAGATCCATTCCTTAAAAAGAGTTTAATCGTTAGATTGTTTTTGATTTGATAGAGGATTACTTATAGGAGTACAAGTAGTACCACTGCACTCTGGCAGCTGCCCGCACCAAGCACACTTGCCACCAATCCAATTAATCCCATTGTCTATATGTTAAATACTCGAACTAACACTAATACTTGAATTACTATACTTGAATGCTATACTAACCACTAAACTAAATAAACAAACAAACAATAACCACACTGCGCGTATGCTCAATGCAAATCTACATATATCTAAACTATGCTTAGGTTCCGGTATACCTGAAATGAAGACCATACTGCGTGGCGTTCAATTGAAAGAGTATCTCACATTTAAGACATTAGTGGCCAAGGTAATTGGTTTAACGGCAACTCTGGGCAGCGGTATGCCATTAGGAAAGGAAGTAAGTATAAAAATTGATATCACTCTCTGCATGAAAATGCAATTTTTGGAAAATCTACAATACAAATCGTTTCTTTCGTTTCCTTTCGTTTCGTTTCGTTCCCCTATTTCCGTATCTCTCTATCCCCCCAGGGCCCTTTCGTACATATAGCAAGTATTGTAGCACAATTATTAAGTAAACTTGTCACATCATTCCAAGGCATATATGAGAATGAGTCGAGGAACTCTGAAATGCTTGCGGCTGCCTGCGCCGTAGGCGTGGGTGCATGCTTTGCCGCGCCCGTTGGCGGTGAGTACCAACCATCCTCTCCCTGTGAAAAGTCCTAACTAACCGGGCCGTCTCCTTCAGGTGTCCTTTTTAGCATTGAGGTCACCACAACGTACTTTGCAGTGCGCAATTATTGGCGTGGCTTCTTTGCTGCCGTGTGTGGTGCCACAGTCTTTCGACTGCTGGCGGTCTGGTTCCAGAATGCCGACACCGTGCGAGCCCTGTTCTTGACTAACTTCACCACCGAGTTCCCCTTCGATCCCCAGGAGCTATTTGTCTTTGCATTGATTGGGTGAGTGATATTCAATCGTAGACTTACCACCGATTTGCTGATTTCCGATTCCTCCACAGACTTGTCTGCGGTCTGGGTGGCGCATCCTATGTCTGGGTCCATCGCCGCTATGTCCTCTTTATGCGCTCCAATAAGCGCATGAACAAGTTCCTTCAGAAAAAGTACGTACATCAATAATTACGGTATCAAAGGTATCAAAATTAATGTTCCATTTGCATGTACTTCCTGCTAGTCGGTTCCTGTATCCTGGATTCCTGGCCTTGCTAGTCTCCAGCATATCGTTTCCACTGGGCACTGGCCAGTTCCTGGCCGGGGAGCTGAGTACCCATGAGCAGGTCACCCAGCTCTTTAGCAATTTCACTTGGTCCCGCGATGATCTGACCGTGGAGCAGGCGGCAGTTGTAACCCACTGGATGACCAGCTACACCAGTGTATTCGGCAATCTCGTCATTTATACTCTTTTCACGGTAGGTGCTCTTGCTCTGGAAGTAAAAAAGAATGCTTTACTGAACTGGAAATGGAAATCCCTTTTGCAGTTTATCTTCTCGATTGTTGCCTCCACGATACCGGTTCCATCGGGCATGTTTATTCCGGTTTTCAAGATCGGAGCCGGCTTCGGTCGTCTGGTGGGAGAGTTTATGGCGACGACATTTCCCCATGGAGTACGCTATGGCGGACGCCTTTCCCCCATTATGCCCGGCGGATATGCCGTTGTTGGGGCCGCTGCCTTCTCTGGCTCCGTGACCCATACGGTGTCCGTGGCGGTGATTATCTTCGAGATGACTGGACAGATCACCCACGTGGTGCCCGTGATGATTGCCGTACTGGTGGCCAACGCAGTGGCGGCGCTGCTCCAGCCCTCCATATACGACAGTATTATATTGATTAAGAAGCTGCCGTACCTTCCCGATCTTCTGCCCTCGAGCTCCGGGATGTACAGCATATTTGTGGAGGACTTTATGGTGCGGGACGTGAAGTATATATGGCACGGCATCTCCTACCAGAAGCTCAAAGAAGTCCTCAAGGCAAACAAGACACTGCGGTCCCTGCCATTGGTGGACAGCCCTGACAACATGATCCTCCTGGGGTCCGTGCAGCGCTACGAGCTAATCAAAATGATTGAGAAGCATATTGGCAGAGAGAAGCGCATGGAAGTGGCACAAAAATGGCAAAAGGAGGCCGAGGAGCGGGCCCTTGAGGAGGAGAAGAAAAAGCAAGAGGTCGAGCTCAGAATGCGGCGTCCCTCGCGCTTTGAAGTTCTCCCAGCCCCGGATATCCTGAGTTTGCGACAGATTGCCAACGATGAAATGCTTCCGCCCAAGAAGCGTGCCGAAACGATGCACAGCTCGCTCACTCCCAGGAAATCCATCCTGAAGAAGACAAACTCCTTTAATCTCAAGACGTACGCCCCCGCTGCCCTGCACCACAGTCCGAGCATCACGCCGTACACGACGATAACCGGCAACTCCGAGTTCCGCATCCGCTCCGCCTTCGAGGCGATCTTCAAGAAGTCGACCACCCTCCAGGACGTCCAGCCCGATGCCGAAACGGGCTCAATCTCGCCAGCTGCCAGCACCAATGAGGTCGAAGTGCAGCAGCGCACTGTTACTCCCAGCACTCCGGGTGTCTCGAAAAAGGTTCAGCTGGTGAGTGTGCTTTTCTTTCACCGACCTCCCGTCGGGGGGTAACACTTGGGTGGTTTTGGGTTCTCAACATTTCATCAAAGAATGAGCTTTACAATACTTACAAGCAAGCACAAAATAATTGGAATTTCGTAACAGATCAAATTATGCTGGTAAGTAGCGTCACTAACAGTTCACTTATTTGTAGTCGGTGTGTCTGTGTAGCACCTACATATATCTGTGTCTGTATCTGTATCTGTGACTAACCCAATTTAATATCTGCAAGCAAGTAAATCCTATCTCTACGGATAAACCTGAACAACTAAACAATATGGTATGGCGCATTGCATTCTGTGATATGATCCGCAATTCATTTCCCTTCACCACTTAACAAGATCCCAGTCCACACAAAAGTCTATGTAAATTCAAAAATAGATCCAATTCTTCTCCCAAAAAAAAGAAACCCTTTCAAACACTCAATATGATTTGTGAGGTATGTATCAATATTAATCCGTGCAAATGTTTCGCTTTTCTGAAAGCTGGCTGAGAAGGATATCAACGAAGTTTTAGTCACAAATGGGGATAGTGATGGGGATACATTTAATTCAAGTCAATTTCCTTGCAAAGAAGTGCTCGGGGATCTGGCCAGCATTAGACACAAGACAAATAAGGTGTCGGATGTGGATGCCGGAATGCCGTTTATGGTGCAGGTCTCTACGGATGAGAAGACTATGCAGGAGCCAAAGAAAAAGGCGACAAAGATTCGGTTTTCTGATGAAAATACGAACAAATTAAACGAGAATTCCGAAACGATAAGTCCAGAAACAGAGGGAGAGGTTAGTGGAAATGTTTTCTAATATTTGTTTAAGGAGTACCTCCATAAAGCTTGTGTGTATCTGTACCTATCTACTCTCCACAACTAACTCACAATTAAAACAAATCCAATTTCTATTCTATCTGTTTTTTCTCTCATTGTAATAACCATACCAAACACACACACAAAAAAGACAAACAAGCCCTTTCAAAAGACGAAGTCCGTGCAATTGGTATGTGATTTATAATCCCAGACAGAAGATCCACTCCATTCCACTCCAGCCAATGCAATACATTTTTGAATACGCTTTATATTACAGCCCAGGGAGCGGGTTATTGACATGTCGCCCGAGGACCAGAAGAAGTGGGAGCTCGAGGAAATGTTGAAGCCCGTCGATTTGCAGAAGGCGAACGTGCACATAGATCCATCACCGTTTCAGCTGGTAGAACGCACCTCAATACTTAAGGTTCATTCATTATTCTCGATGGTTGGCATCAATCATGCGTATGTCACAAAGATCGGAAGACTTGTGGGTGTTGTCGGACTTAAAGAGGTACACACAGTCTTTACAAATGGATATTTGTATTATCTAATACCTTGACTTTTTAACTTATATTTTAAAGCTGCGAAAGGCCATTGAAGACATCAATAGCAATAGTTTTGTGGTTGCCACACGCGACGATGAAACTGCGCCTGAAACTGAGACCAAGACAGCTGTGGAAAAGCCATTGCTGGCGTTGAATTCCAGTGATAAGGCTGTGGATATGACGGTAACGTCGATGGACTCGGCTCTGTCGAATTCTGAAAACTGTTCCGACATCGAAATGGAACACATAAAGCACATGGAAGTGAAGCCATCATCGGTGACCCTCACTCATGAGACGACATCTGCATCGAAGGACACAAATACCACAGAAAATGGCAATCATCAAACTTGAAACGAAACCGATTGAGATGAAAGATGAAAGAGCTCTAAAGATAGAATATTTAGCACTACAATCAATATATGTATGTATAGTATGTAATACGTGTTTGTAAAGATCAGTTAAAGTCTATTTATAATAAGTGCAGTCATCGAAAGTTATTATGTATTTATATCTCGCTAGTTCATAAAATGACAAAGATATCGTGATTTATGTTTAAGTTGAAAGAGGAAGGAACAAGTGTCATCGCCTTTGTGTGTATTGTCGAAGGGCAGTAAGTGCCTTAGAATTTATATTCAATGTGCCAAATGGCGTTCCAAACCAAACCAAACCCAACCCCACATACTATCAACAAATAAAATAGTCAATTCCACTTAAATTGTACATTTTCCACTGCGATGACATGAGAACAAAAAGAAAGAAGCACCCGCTCAGTGCTCGCTGCGATGACATTTTGGGACTATCTTGGACACTGCAATGCAAGGGCACATATCCGCACGACGTGAAACTGAAATATGGCAATCGACTAGTTTCAATTCAAGATCCATATAGTATTCACCACATGCAACCTGACAAGTATCTGGTAACGATGGGAAAGAGTAGATTGCAAACAGCCCCGACTGTGACAATGTCGCGCGAAGGATTCCTTGATGAAAACAAGAGGAAAATTCAGAATTTAGATTACCTTGCATGCGTTCCATACAGGTTGCGCTTCACGGAGGAACTTGTCCATGACTGCAAGGGTCACATCGATGGCTACGCACAATTTTCGGTCCTAAATTATGCAGAGCTTACTAAAGGTCGAAAAATGCATGATTGTCGTACTTGTACGCCGTATGACGAACTTCAAAATGAAACTTACATTTCCAACGCCAGTTCCTTGGACAGACTGCAATGGTGGCCATTGTTTCTGCTGGGATGGTTCCTTTTGGTAACGATATACAGCACGCTGAAAAAATAAACCAAAATTGTAACACAAATTTCACACCCAAATTGCACGCAAATAAGGCACAATTGTAACACAAATTGCATGTGAAAATTGCGTCCAAATTCGAAAATCACTTTTACCAACCAAATGGTTTCCATTTTCACACTTTTGAACACTCGCAACCGTTAAACTAAATAAACAATTAATGCACTTGTTGCTTTGTGTTTGTTTAACCCGCGTCTTAGCGCACTTAAGCCCCCTCTATTTAAATAGTTTAACTACTTGAGGCATATGGCGGAAAATACTAACGATTGTGAATTCTTCTTGTAGATTCATGCCATCTTTCGTCTGAACTTAAAAAAAAACACGATATATTTCACCTGAACTGCGCTAAAATTATTATTTTTATATTATTTTCAGTGGAATATTAAAATACCCCCTTGGGTTAATTGTTTTCCGCCAATTTTGATGTTTGATTCTTGTCAACCGGGTAAACGGTTATCGATACTATCGACTAGTGATGAGAGCACCACAAAAATACCGACTTGGGAAATTGGTATTTTCTATCAGCTGATTCAACCAGTGCTGGAAAATTGTTGTCATCTGTGTATTGTATCTTTTATTAATAATATTTATTATAATTAAACTGTTAGAACTGCGCTCATTTTGATAGAGTCAGCCGCCTCCAGCACGTGCGTTAACAGATCTGTGTGTGTTGTGTTCTATTTGCTGGCGTGTGCACAATGTAGCGTGCACCGTAGGTCTTTTGCGTGGCGGGGTGTGGTTGAAAAGAAGTTGAAAGAATATAAACCAGTGGAAGACTCTGAGAATCGGCAATAACAATTTCCTCAGTCGATGTGGGCTATAATTTATGCCAAAACCGAGAGCCCAGCTACGTGCTTCGATTAGTGAATGTTAATTTGGTCATTTTGATGATGCAAAATTGAAGACGAGACGGCGCTCGCTCTGTTGTGTATGTGTGTGGTGGCCTAAGCACCTGATTATGTGAAAACAACATAAAACATTTGGTTTTTCTTATGTTTGTTACTTATTTACTCCATAGGTTCGACTTTAAAGAGAAATAACAAGTCAGGTGGGTCAGTATAGACCGGCAATGTGCTTTTCGAGATGTCCCGGCTTGCTGATTACTTTGTAATTGTTGGCTACGACAGCGATAAAGAGAGTAAGTACAGATGTTTAGTAATACAGTATATAAAAAGTGACATATTTTCGTTGCAGAGACTGCCAGCAATGTGTGTGGGCAGCCAATATGCGGAAAAATTGTTCAACGCTTTCCCGAGAAAGATTGGTCCGACACTCCGTTTATCGACGGCATTGAATGGGTGCGTCTTGTATTTCCTTCTTTCGTTTTCGTTTCGTTCCACATACAAATACATACAGAAATAGTGATAGTGATACACACTGGCTGTATATTTTATCTTTTGCAATAGTTCTGCCAGCCCCTGGGATGGAATTTATCGTATGAAAAACAAGAGCCCAAATTTTTCATTTCTGTTCTCACCGACATCGATGCCAATAAGCATTATTGTGCGTGCCTGAGCTTTCACGAGACGCTGGCCATCACGCAGACCAGAAGCGTCGACGATGAGGATGAGACCATAGGCGGCAGCAGCAGCAGGCTGCTGGGCGCGGTAGCCTCGCTGGAATCGGGTTCGGCTATCGCTGAAGCGACATCTCAAAATACACACCACAGCGTCATGTATGCCCCAAAGTGTTTGGTGCTCATATCGCGCCTGGACTGTGCCGAGACCTTCAAAGTAAGGAAAAGACTGAAAGTCTCAACACACAACAGTCTTAACGTTATTTTCTGTTGTTGCAGAATTGCCTGGGGACGATGTACACGGTGTACATTGAGAATTTGTCGTATGCCATGGAGACACTGATAGGAAACATCCTTGGGTGCATTCAAGTGCCGCCCGCGGGAGGGCCGCAAGTCAGGTTCTCGATTGGAGCAGGGGACAAGCAATCGCTTCAGCCGCCGCAAAGTTCCTCGCTGCCCACGACCGGGAGTGGCGTGCACTTTCTTTTCAAGCAACTTGGCATTAAGAATGTCCTCATACTGCTCTGCGCGGTGATGACCGAAAACAAAATCCTTTTCCTCTCGAAATGCTACTGGCACTTGACGGAGAGCTGCAAGGCTTTGGTGGCTCTGATGTACCCCTTTCGATACACGCACGTCTACATACCCATTCTGCCGGCACCTCTCACCGAAGTCCTGTCCACGCCCACGCCCTTCATTATGGGAGTACACAGCTCGCTGCAAACTGAAATTACGGATCTCCTGGATGTAATTGTCGTCGATTTAGACGGCGGTCTCGTTACCATTCCAGAAGCCCTCACACCCCCAGTGCCCATTCTGCCATCGCCCCTGTGGGAGCAGACGCAGAATCTGCTCAGTATGATACTCTTCCCGAACCTGGCGCAGGCGGATCTCGCGTTTCCCACCCAAGAGCGCCCGGCCGTCTTGGCCAAGACAGATGCCCAGATCGACAAGGAACTTCGTGCCATTTTCATGCGACTTTTCGCCCAGCTGCTGCAAGGCTATCGCTCTTGCCTGACCATAATTCGGATCCATCCGAAGACGGTCATCACCTTTCACAAAGCTGGTTTTCTGGGCGCTCGCGATCTGATCGAGAGCGAGTTCCTGTTCCGCGTCCTGGACAGCATGTTCTTTACGACGTTTGTCAACGAGCGAGGACCCCCTTGGCGTGCCTCAGATGCGTGGGATGAACTCTACAGCTCAATGAACGAGCTGCTCAAACTGGAAGCTCAGAATCGGAATCTCGTAAGTAGAGAAGTTGGGAGAGGAGAGCCTTGCTAAATCCAACTGGAATATTTCTGTTGCAGATAATACCACATATCCAGGAACTGGGACGCACTCTCTTTGATAATGAGAGCTCCTTTGCGCACAGCAATTATGCGCAGAAGGTTTTGCGCCCACCGGAGGGAGCCTTTCAGCGCATACATCAGCCCTCTTTTCCGCGCATAAGTGTGGAAAAGGTGGAGTTGATTATTCAGGAGGGCATCCGAAAGAATGGCGGGGCACAGCGCTTCCATGTTACGCGAAATCAGCATCGGATCATTCCCATGGGACCAAGGCTGCCCGAGGCTCTAGATGTGCGTCCAAATGTGCAGAACTCGGCCCGTCGACTGGAGGTGCTGCGCACTTGTGTGTCATATATCTTTGAGAATCGGATCGCAGATGCCAGGAAGCTGCTGCCCGCTGTTATGCGTACGCTCAAGCATCGAGATGCGAGGTTGATCCTCTGCAGGGAGCTCTTTGGCTACGTGCATGGCAACAAAGCGATCCTGGACCATCAGCAGTTCGAGTTGGTGCTGAGATTCATGAACAAGGCGCTGCAGAACTCGTCTGGCGTGGATGAATACACAGTGGCGGCTGCGCTCCTGCCCATGTCTACCATTTTCTGTCGAAAGCTATCCACGGGCGTGGTTCAGTTTGCATATACAGAGATACAGGATCATGGAATATGGAAGAATCTTCAGTTTTGGGAATCCACATTCTACCAGGACGTACAGGGCCAGATCAAGGCATTGTATCTGCTTCAGCGGCGCCAGAACGAGCACCACAAGGAAGCCAACTGTGTGCTGGACGAGGTGCCTCTGGAGGAGCCCACGGCCCTAGAGATTACAGCGGAACAACTGCGGAAGAGCCCCACCATCGAGGAGGATAAAAAGGCGGAGCTGGCCAAGTCCGAGGAGTCCACTTTGTACAGCCAGGCAATACACTTTGCCAACCGAATGGTCTCCCTGCTGATACCACTCGACGTCAATGTGGCCGCAGCCAGCAAGCCGAAGCCAGCCTTTCGCTTGGAGGAAAATCAGAGTGTTTCCAACAGGTGGGTGCCCCTTACTTAATTGTTTCCATCTCAATAATGCGCTACTGTTGCAGTATTTTGGGCTCCCACAGTCTGAGCGAACATTCTGACGAAGGATTCGAGGAGAACGATGCCCTGGAAATTGGTGTTACGGTTGGAAAAACAATTTCACGCTTCATTGACTGCGTCTGCACAGAGGGGGGCGTCACATCGGAGCACATACGTAATCTGCACGACATGGTGCCGGGGGTGGTGCACATGCATATAGAATCCCTGGAGCCAGTTTATTTGGAGGCCAAGCGGCATCCGCATGTCCAGAAGCCCAAGATCCAAACGCCCTGCCTGCTGCCAGGGGAGGAGCTGGTGACCGACCACTTGCGCTGCTTCCTCATGCCAGATGGCCGCGAGGATGATACGCAGTGCCTCATACCCGCCGAAGGAGCTCTGTTTCTCACCAACTATCGTGTTGTGTTCAAAGGTTCGCCCTGCGATCCCCTCTTCTGCGAGCAGACCATAGTCCGATCCTTTCCCATTTCGTCCCTGTTGAAGGAAAAGAAGATATCAGTGCTCTACCTGGCCCATCTGGATCAGACG